GAGAGCGGCGCGGCTCGGCCCCGCCGCTGCCCTCCGCGGCCGCGAGGGTTACTGCCTACCAATCCTTTTATTTATAATTAAAGCAGTTTTCTTATTACTACCATGCTTAGCAAAGATGTAACTCAACTATGCAAGAATTACCTGGTATTTTAAAAATCACTTCTTTCATTAGCTGGACTCTTTTGGTTGTTTTTTTAAGAAATTCCCTTATGCACTGTAAAAGAAACTAATTTAAGCCAAAGAATCCTGTATATTCTAAGGAACTAATTACTTGAAAGGGGTAAGAGATGCAACCTAACAACCTCTGTTCGTATCTTAAATGTGAAATACAGTTTCTAACATGTTTTCCAGTCATTAATATTCTAATACCATAAAGAGACCTCCAATGTCTTCTTCATGAGTCCACCAACAAAACATGCAGCACTAGTGCCTTTCCAGCAACAAATGAAGTCACAGGCATTCTATTTCAAGAATACTAATCTATGAGAAGTTGCTATCTTGCGTTTCACTGAAACGTGAAGAGAAGCAGCAGTACTTAAATTGCACATGCACCACAGGAGTAGCCACAGGAACATTCACACATTTGGGAAACCAACAGTTTCTTCTTTTTCTTTTTTTGTAATAAAATAGCTTGGGATATATAACAGCCAAGGAACCCTGAATCTAAATCCAAGGTGTTCTGAATATACACCCCCGTAAACTCCGACCTAATCTCACAGAAACTGAGATATCAAATGAAATGTATTTTTGTGCAGAGCGCTGTTACAAGGCAGATGCAACATTCACTTCTCACTCCAAGCTCCAAGGTAGTAAAGGAACGTGTATTTGATGCTATGAATAGTAAACGGCCGAGGCTCCCTCCCCCCTCCCGTTCCTCCCAGCTCCTGGGAAAAAGCAGGGTGCCTCACAGATTGTTTTTTGTTGGTTTGTTTGTTTTTTTTTTTTACATTAGCCCTGTAACCCCCTTCAGCTGTGTGTGTAGAAGGGCCGCTGGACTCAAGCGGCAGCTGTGTGCCTGTGCCCGAGGGCGGGAAAAAGCGGGAGCGCAGGCGGTCCTCCCTGAGGCAGACGCTGCCTCTCCTCCCTGCCCCCCGCAGCCCTGTGAGCTGACGGAGCTGAAGGAAAACTTGGAAAGCGCTTCTAAAGTATGTTGTAGGCAAGACACGGTTGTTTTCATTTCTTGCTGTGCTGCAGCAGGACTTGCAGGTCGGGAGATGTTTCTTCCCTCAGACTACAGCAAGATGTGGTGATCTTTCCTAATATCTTCCATATCTTCTTTTTTTTTTTTTCTTTCCACCTCCTGAAACTCACAATACTGCAACAGATGATGTTTGAAAGACGATATGTGTGTATACTCCTACCAAGTAATGAATGAGATTATTTTAGATGACAAGCCCAGTAGAGTGCATACATTTATCTTTAAGGAATCAATAGAGGAAGAACGTAGGCTGGAAATACTTTGTGATAGGCTAAGATAGACGGGTGGTCTGTCTCTTCTTTTTTTTTTTTTCCTTCCCTCTACCACAGAGGTGGGGTGGGATTTTGTAAGAAAAGCATAATCTTGGTCATGGCCAAGACTCATGAAATACTTAATTCTTTCAACACGGATTTAGAAAGTGTTGTAATTTTTTAGATTTCACTAGAAACTGTCCCTTCTAGCCCCTCTGGCTGAGAACTTTTGGAAATTTAAGTAATCCCTCCTCAGTTTTGCTACATTTGAAAGATGTTGGGAGAACAGTACACTTCTGTGAGTTGTATAAGAATTTGGACTTAAAGCATGAGCTTTGATACTTAAGTATTTATGCTCATTACTGTCAGGTCTTGCATAATACTGCAAACTTGTGTGCATTTTTTTGGTAGTAATTTGTCAGATACTGGTAATGATAGTACCAGTTTTGTAAATAGTGCAGTGTGTAAGAAAGTTACGGTTTCTTTAACTTCAGTAACTATATAGTGCAGTGTATAAGAAAGTTACCGTTTCTTTAACTTCAGTAACTATATCTAAAATTCTTGCTTATACCAAACTTGAAATTCTTATAGGTTAATCCCAGACACATGGAAAATTTTTCTCTCTTTGTATGTGAAGTTCTTTTTTCTTATTTTTTAGGAACAAGAAGTGTTGAATGACTTTAGCATAACCTTTCTTGGAAATAAAAACTGTTTTAAGTTGTTGAGTTTCAACATGGCACGTGGATCTGTCCAGATGCAAATACAAATGTATATCTCTTTTGATTTATTATGCTTTGTTATAGGAGATGCTGGACTTTTAAGTACAATGGCTTTTGTAGCAGTGTTGCTGTACAATTTTGTAAGATTTAATCACTTTGGAAATGCTTTCCAAAGAAGTAATATGGAACTATGTGGACATATCTCATATGCTTTTATAAATAATGCTGGAACTGTTGACTTCAAGGAAAGTAATTTTGTTTAAGTGTTTCTGATTGACACTGTAATATTCAAAAAGTAACTAACATATGCACCACATGATTTGCTGTTTGAAGTGTCCTCTCTCAGAGAAGAAACATAAAGGATGGTTGTTAGTGTTTATTAAAGACATAGGTGATTCTCATATTACTAGTGACGGAAATAAATTGCCAGGCCAAATTCTAAAACTGTAGTTATATTTTGCCTCCCTAGAACCAGGAGGCAGGTTTGTACTATTTCTGTCTAAAACCACTCTTTTTCCTAAAAACAGTTGATTTTTTTTTTTCACTATGGCCCAGGACAGAGAAGCAAGCTGAATACTTAATTTCCATCACTTTGTAATGAAAATGAAACAACCAGTTCTTCCTTTCACTATTGAAAATTTCACCTAAGTTTTTTTATAGCACATGTATTTTGTCACTTGTCTTCAAGTGGTGTCATGTTGCCAGTTAAAACTGGCTTTCATGTAGAGCCCTGCTATGTTTGTTTGCTTACAACTTAAATATTTCTGCGTTTTTCCTGCAGCCAGTAATGGATTGCTACTGACGAGGGGGGTTTTGTTTGTTTATTTGAGGGAGAAGCATATGTTGTTTTGTCTTTTTTTTTTAAGTGAATGGGTTTCTTTCACACTGAAAATAACACGTAGATGTCCATAGCAAAGTTTCTTTAGCAAGTGTCAAATAGTGAAAAACAGTAACACTTACATGTGCCTATTATTGTGCTAGAGTTTTTGAAGCTTGATTTTTGATATATCACAAACATTGTGAAGCCGTGCTGATAAAATATTTGTTTAGCTCTTGACCTCTCGGAAATATGCCAAGAAATTCTGTCATTTTTTATTTGTGAAGACTGAGACAACCACATTCTAAAAAGACATATAATGGTAGCATCTTCCCCTTGCTACAATCATGAACCAAATTTGGATTGATCATCTGGAGGTAAAGGTTTCTGTTTCACTGTAATCTCAGTTGCTGTAGTGATATTGATACAGTGACATATAATAATGACTGTAGTAATGAACCTACATGTGAGTGAAGTCAATGACTGCAGATAGTGCTAATTTAACAAATTACCAAAAAAGTTTTGAGGCATTTGTGTGAATAACACAAAAAGAGCTGAGAACACTGAGGAGCTAGATTCCAGCTGATAAGTATCTGTCATTAGGATTGTGCCATTGATTACTACAGCTGCATGCCATGAACCTCAACATCAAGAAGTATTATTCTCTATTTCTGTGACTGAGAGCATTGAAACTGCAACGTTATTGCTAATGTAAAAGTGTACATCTGTTCAGGCATTTCAACAGTCATGACAAGGAAACATTTGTTCCACACAAAAGAAAAATGTGTTCAGGTTGTTATAAACAGTGAAAGCTGGAAATAACACATTATCCTAAAATTTAATGATAAAAACCCATAAGATTGAAAGCAAGCTTGACTTGATGGACACTAAACTTCCATTATCCTTTCCATTCCTTTTGGACAAAACCATAAGGAGACTTGTTTATGAAAGAAAACTTTACTGGTAGAAGAAAGGTATTTTGGCTATGATAGAATTCACAGATACTTCATGGAATGTCTGTGGGTTGTACTCTGTCACTTTTGTCCTCTGATACAGGTCTTTAGTAATGTCAGTGTTAATTTCCCAATGCTTTGCTAGATGTTTTTCAGTTCACTAAGGACTTGCATCACCTGAAGAGTGTAACAAGGCGGGGCGGGAAGACTGTTTAAAGGACTTCATATCTTTCTTACCATGCTATTTCAGCCTTACTTGACTCTATGGCCAACATCTAATTTTCTGCACTGGAAGAGAAGAAAGAAACAGTAGTTGTTAAAAAGTATCTTCATAAATTACGCTGAAACAAATGTACTACTCTCTCACATTAATACTTTCCTAATCTCACTTTGTCATGTAGATAAGCTTTCTGTTGCCTCAAGAAAGAAATGTGTTGAGATTTATGAGAATCATTCATAGGAGTGTCTCTAGCTTAGAAAGTCATTTCTCATATGACAGTGATTGAAAGAAGACTAAGAGAATGGTAGGCAATGCTGAAATGACTTCGTAACCGCTAGCACCTCTGTTTCAGAGAGTACCATTCAAAATGTGGAAGATGACATTTACGCATCTACCAGTTGAGGCCTAAAGCTTTGACCTGTCTTAAAAAACCCAAATAAACAGTTAAAAAAACAACACAAAAAACCCCCATAGGTCCCTCTCCCACATGCACTTAGACATATGTCCTTAGCTCAACAATTGCTGAAGACAACAGAACTAGAACTTAAAAAGGGTATTTCGACATACATTCAGTAAAATCAGAGCTATTGCATAGCAAAGAAGTCATATTTTGTGCACAGATTAAAACTGACATAAAGTTTAACTTGAAAGTTTAGATTGTCCTCTGGGTGATACAAGTGAGATAGGAGCATTTATAGTAATGTTCGAGTCTGTCATTTCAGTGAATCTGTCATTACTTTTTCCTTCATTTTATATAATGTATTGTAGTTCGTTCTTGTCTCACAGTTGAAGTTACAGATGGCGAAGGTTTTCATTTGAATTTTGTTATCCATAGATAAGCCATGTCTGTCCCAGCTGATGAAACTGTGGGGGACCTGCCTGTGAGAGATGTAGGTCTAACCCTAGCTGGAATTGGAGGATTGCAAGGTTTGTACCAGCTGCTATTTATTACAGTTACAGACTTTGATCAGTGGCTTCTTTAGTTTCTTTCTGAAAATGTTTCTGACATTTGCACTCACAAAATCAAGTTCAAATACCATTCAAAATCTGGGTTAAATTCTGGAAGATACTGTGACCCATTCTGTCTTTGTGTTGCTTGTTATAAGAGGGGAGTTGATGTGAAGTGCTAAAAACTGGAAATCTCATTAAGCTATAACGTTCATCATTCCAGAACGAGAGAGGCTTTTTTTTTTCTGAATTGAGGACAAGGCCAGTCCTATTTAACAAAATGGGAACCAAAAGTACTATGCAATACAGATATGTTACTCAGTTGCTATTAGAATGGAACTACTGGGATTAGTCTTGTATCTGAGTAAATTTACAGAATTATGAGTTAGTTTTTTCAAGCTTCAAGACAGTATGTTAACTTTGAAACAGATTAGAAAGCATCTCTGTGGTAATGATCATCTTATTTTTTTTTTAAGTAGTATGGTTGACAGTACCTGGTTACTTGCTAAACTATTTCCTTTGTGTTGTCTAGTGGATAATCAGTTTTCTGTATCATTTGAATTGCTTTTTTATCTGTAAGAGGGAGGCAAAAAGCGATTAATATGCCACTAAGTCTGAAAAAAATTAATCAACAGACTCAAACAAGTGTAAAATATCAAATTACTTGAAAACTTTCTCTTATTTTTTTTGGTATTTCAAAATGAGTTAGACTTTGGGTTGCGTGTTGTTGAATGTATTGAAGGTAATTTAAAGTTGTCTTGGTTTGGGTAGAATCATCAACCACACACAATGTTAGAGCACGACAGTCTGTATCACGAATCGGTCGAGAGGAACTGGAAGACAGACTTCTTCGTTTACGTGATGAGAACATCTTACTCAAGCAGCATGCAAATAAGCAAGAGGAGAAAATTAAAAGGTATGACTTTCAATGTTTTTATGTTAGCTCAGAATAATATTTTTGTCCTTTAAGGCATTACCAACAGATTAAGAATTATGCTGATTTATCTCAGAGCACTTTTGAAAGCAGTAGCAAAAATCACTCATTAGAATTCATTTTGTATTGATTTCTGGTTGTCTCTGTGGCACGTGGGATATTTTTTTGCAGTGGACAGTATTAGATGTCCACGTACACCTGCTATCCACTACTTCAGAATTGGTACCTTGGGTTCATAGCTCTGCCATCTGTGTACAAATATAGCGCGTATATATAACAAATACATATATTCAGTTCAGGGAATTGAAAAAGAGGTTAGAGAAGCCTAATTATTCATCAGGAATTTCATCGTAGAATCAGAATGGCCTATCCAGAGAGATTCTGCCCCTTTTTTTGTCCTTCTCTGTCCTCCAAGAAGTTGACTAGCCTCTAGCCTTCTATGGTCTAGTTAATCCTAAAATATCTGTATAATTATGATCAGCTCTCTGTAGATGGGACTGTTTCATACCTTTCTAAAGTCAAAAACATTCTTTCCTTTTGACTCAGTACTGAGTGAGTCAGGATCAAATTGATCAGAATGATGTAACTGCCACATTTTCTGTCAGGCTACTGTCAAATACAAGATGGTGGAACAAATGAATTGTTTGCTTATTCCAAATAGCATTTCCTGTGTTTCTGTTAGATGACTTATCAAATGCACTCATCATCCGCTTAGGTAAAATTACACAAAGGCCCAAATTGGAATACCTGAATGAATATTTTAAGGCACACAGAAAAAAAAAAAATACAGTGTTTGTCTAGATTACCAGACAAAAATCTTAACTCCTCAAGCTAAATTTCTTTCCCAGCATCCCTCATGCCAAAACCCTTGTAACAAAAAGTTTGGAAAGAATTTGCAGTAGAAGTAAATTTAAAAAAACCAAATAAACAAAAAACCCGCTTACAGGCAAGTAACATTCTGTGACATCCTAAAGTTATTATGGATTTTTTTTGCTTCACTTTTGTTCTTTTAAGTAGAAGCTTCTGTCCATAAGTATACAAAAATAAAACAAGCCCCTTTAAACAAATGAAGTGTGTCCTTATTTTCAGTTTTCTTTCTGGGCCTGCAAAAATAGATTCCCTGTAAACTAGATACAGGTCTTGAAGATGTGCGACCAATTTTGTAAAGTCTTGAACTTGTCTTTCTCATCAAAGCCACCTTTTCTTTCTTTACATGCCAAGTTTTTTCCATTCGCTGCTGGGTATGTTTTCTGTTCTTGTATATTACATCACCTCCATGTGCCCTCTCTGCCTTTTGTTCTATCTTACCAATGTTTATCAAAACTAAAGGAAATCAAAGGTACAACTCTTGAGATGCCAAAAGCAAAATTTGTATCCTTTTAAAGATAGATGAAAACCATACTCTCTGTATCTAATTATATTCTTCAGCTAACCATTCCTTCTCTGAAGCACACGGGTAATATTTACCAAGTATAAAATTGAGTATGGTAATGAGAACTATTAAGTCTTTTTTTTTTTTTGGAGTACCTTCTTCAGTATCTCCACCTATATATTTTAGATGCTTTAGAACTGAAATATATATTGAAATCCTAAAATACTAGAAATTATATATCATTTGAATGTTGCATATTACTAGCATTCTTTCAATAGTTGAATGTTTTGTGGAACTGTAGCTTTTATAGTTTGCCCCACCACATCCCAAATCTGTAACTTTACTTAACAGCATGCAGAGGTTCCTATATAAGGTCATGCGTTAAAAATTACATTTAAGCAGCATATGGAGTAAATATGTGTCCTCCCTTTACTAACCTTAAATGATAAGCCTTAGGAAACTGTTATTTGTCAGTGCTATAAAGCAGATTGCTGCACAGTGGTTTCAATTATCTTCAAAGAGTTCTTCACAGGCAGTAATAGTTATATCAAAACCTGAAATTTATTATTCAGGTTCTACGCTGAAGTCTTCACAGTGATTATGTTCCTTTCAACAGAATGCTTTTTATGCTGACTTTTCACATTCTTTTTCATCTTTTTTTATTATTTTCCCCAGAATGGCCACCAAGTTAATACGGCTTGTTAATGATAAAAAAAGGTCTGAACAGGTTGGTGGCGGCCCCAAGCGGCTGGGTCAGGCTGTGGAGCTGGAAGAAATGATTGAGCATTTGCAAGAGAGAGTCCGTGAGCTTGAGAAACAAAACGAGAGCCTCCGCAGCAAACTCATTTCAACTAAACAGCAGCTCCAGATTCAAGGCCATAGGCCTTGTCCGTACAGCTATGTTCAATCTCGTATAAACACTGGTCTCAAAAAAGTAAATGAGGCTGCTGGCATGCCGGAGCACGCCAAGAAAGGTATAATTCACCTTTACTAAAAGTAGCGGTTTATACAGATAGCCCTAATTATTGCTTCACTGTAGCAAGTACGTCCTCTTTTCTGTTCAGCAGTGGGCAATAGTACCTGTAGGCAGAAAGATTGCTCTTCCCCCCTTTTCTTGTATTTATTTATAGCATTCATGATAATTTGTTTGCCTTTGAAATCCTTATTTTGAGAATCCACAGTGGTAGGGGTAAAACAAAAGTACAGATTTGTAAATAAAGTAGTTATCAAGCGAGTCTTCTAGTAGTTAAGTCATGGGACTTCCCTCGTATAACTTCTCTACATGTTAAAGGCTTATAAAAGAAGTATATGAAAAAATTTAGTGTTGTCATGTTATAACAAAGTTTTACATCTGTAGTTTGTTTGCACATGTTTTTCCTTTATTAATTTCAAGGTTTGTTCTCGTCTCTCGATACATGTGTGCACAACACTGCAAACTTGAAAAATCTATTACATGTGCGGACTTTCGAAAGCACATACCACAATGCAGCCTTCTTTAATGATGCTTTTTACTGTCAAGACTTACTGCTTAAGGCACTCGTACTCTCAGTCCTTTATTTATGGTACCTACATTTGGAAATTACACTCTAAACCCTTTCTATTTTCATAGCAACATTTGTAGAGGTAGTTGTACTCAGTTAACATACACAGTGCAGATAATGTGTTTTTTAAAAAAAATGCAGCTATGTTGGCCCTGATTCAAAACTGAGTCAGCAGAATTGTCTCCTTAACTTCTTCAAGCTACAGATCAGGCTGATAGCCAGTTATGTTGTGTTTTTTCTCCATCTCACCCTCCCACCAGTCTCTTTTTTTGGTTACATTGATTATTCAGGTGTATGAAAACAAAAACAATTATTATGTTTTTAGACAGGTAATAAAAAGCAATTGGCTCTGCCACTCTGCTTTTTTAATTTCAATAGTGAAAGTTTTGACATTTTAAATACACTTACATTGTCACCCTTTGTCATGAATTAGGCAATTTTATTCCCAAATCAATTTTTTGTTTGTTTGTTTTAACAATGCAATAGTAGGGTAAAAATGTAATAAATTTATTCAGGCTTAGTGCTAGCAGAGAGAAAAGGGCAACTTGGTTCAAGGATTAAACATCAAGCATTAAAATGGCGTGCTGCAAGGACTTCTCTTGGCATAGGAACAGATTCAGATCAAAGACATCCTGTGCTGAACTAAGACTGGGGCCATGTTGATTGAGGCAGTGTTTTTTAAACTAAAGAGAACATGAGGACAAAAAAAAAATAAAGCAAAAGTTGTCCACAGAACATTCGGTTCAGATAATAATGTTGAGAAATTTCACAGAAGTTCTAGTGTGCCTATCTCGGTTCTAAGACCTTGTCCAAACCAGAAGTGTTCTCATAATTTGAGTGCTATGAACATGCAATTTCTTGAACACTTTTTTTCTAAGGTGAAGACTATTATTAAGAATCTAGTAACAAATACTCAGAACTTGGACACGGTGGTGTCTTCCAGAAGGTCAGAGAATATGTTCTGTACTATTCGTTAGCATGGGCTGTTTCATGTTTTTCTCTTGTATGTTTTCTCACCCTGCCCTTTTGATTAATGATTATAAACCTAGCAGTCTGCTGTTGGGTATATGCCTCCTATCTTTAATGGCTGCTGGACTCTTAGATTGCTCTGTAGAACTATGAGGCTGAATCTCAAAATATTTTTAGTGCAGATCAGAAAACACACGGAGCAATTCTCCAAAAATAGTGCCTGGAAAAATTCAGGAGAGCTTAGCTGTCTCCAGGGTATGAAGAGGCAAGAAGAATCCACAAATAATAAATACACCTTACTGTATCTGCTTTGTGTTTGGCTGGTTTACAGGTACCATAGCAAGTCGCTCCAAAAGATGTGTATGAATGTTCACTAAATGCTCACTGGTTTGTCTCATTACTTTCTTTATTGAGTACAACCTTCTAAGATATATCATGATTTCAACAAAAATAAATAAAAAATATATACTCTAGGGGTATATAAAAACATATGTATACAGCATAATTACCAGTACCTTAAAATAATACTTAAAGATCAAAATTCAAAACATATAAATGGATCAAATTAAGTCAGCACAAATGCAAAGTAGGTAAATTTTTTTCAGTCATTTTGCGAACCTGCTGGTATCGTTGTACCTTGAACCTAAATGACTCAATTTTGGGGACTGAGGGATGGCAGCTGTAATGCTGTGTTTGAAATTTAATGCATAGTTTGGTCCCACCTCAAAACTTCATTAATTTCTTCTTGCTGAAGAAAGAGAAGAAGGAGAAAGATTTGGAGAAACCATTACTTTTACTCCTGAACTAACTATTCTTCCTTAGGTAATTTCTCACTTTTCTTTTTCATCAGGGACTTGATATGCTTCTAAAGAATGTAAGGAAATTATTTGCACTGCTGCTAAAAATGGTCCTGTAATTGCTTGTCTAGGTAAATGAGACTCATGATTTTGTAAAGAAAGTGCTGTCAGAGGAAAAAGTGATTATGAGTCCATGTGTCTGTTTAACAATATTGATATTGTTCTTTAAAGGCACCATCTCTGTTCTGTCTTTAAAAATAAAATCTTCTAAGGAAGACATTTCAAGACACATTTTTAGCATTTCTCTTTAACTGTACATTTCTCATGCTGTATTACCCATAGTTCAAATTTTACAGCAGCTATGTTGTAGATACTTCAATTATCTCTTTCCATGTGAATTTGATGTAAAAGTACTTTTTATGGCATCTATATACGGGTTGTAAGTGTTTGTGCTGTGTAGAGATTGTTGTTTTGTGAAATGCTTTTCATTCAGCATGACAAAAATTTATCTTTTCTTTGTTTTCAGGAATGAGATTTCAGGATTTAGAAGTGAGATCACCTAACCCTGTGCTCCCAAGATATGGGGAGAGTCTGCTTGAGGATCCAAGAGCTGAAATAAGAAATTTGTATGATTTTTATATTCCTTAATTTTTGCCATTAAAATGGTTAAAACTTGTGGTTTTCTTGAAGGAAAAAAAATATTTTTTTTTAACAAGTTTTTACTTCAGAAAATAAAGTGAAGTTGTTGGATCTGACAGCCGTTAACACCGGTAACAATGCAGAAGTGTTTTAAGATAAGGAAAACATAGGATCAGGAATTTAGAATGCAAAATGTAGCTACATAAGAATTTGGCTGGAAGTTAAAACTGATCTTCAATGGTGAGGCTCTCTTTTTGCTAGGATGCAATGCTGCCTAGCTTACTACTGGACAAAATTGACAAAAGCAGAAAGAATCTTAGCTGCAAAATTATTACCACCGTAACTCCTGAAATGTGTAGGTTAACCCATGCAAGTAGTGACTGTATTGAATGTGTTACACATTTAAGCTTTATTTCTAGAGGTGGTCAGATTTTATGGACAAGATGCAAAAAGTGCAGTATAGAATAGTAATATAAAATGATTTTGATTCACTTCTGCATTTTGAAAGTTGGTTGTAGTCCAGTTTAACGTAGTTTAACGGAAATTGAAGCTCAGGAAACTCTTAATAACATCCTTAACATAAAGACTGTGTGAGAATAGAGAGGTGTTATATAGGATGCAGAAAAGGTAGTTTACATCTAATTTCAAGATATTGAGGTCTGATTAGAACGTTCTTCTTCTCCAAAGTGTAGGGGAACTTGCTTTTTAGACACTTGGTTTTCTGAAAACTACATGCAGTATGTGTATTTCTTTCCATAATTATTTTTCTAATCAGATTTACTACAATATCTGTAAATGCTAAGCTTTCAATAAATGGGCAAGCTAAGTATACAAACATATGAATTAATGGACATTTATGTATTTTGTGCTTGAAGTTTTGTGAACGCAAAGATTTAGTGGGATCATAGGAAATAATTTTACAGGAGTACTCTTACAATTGATTTTAATAAAGAAATTATTTAACAATATTTAAAGTGCACTCTTGCTAGCATCCTGTCTGAATGTAACCCTTGCTGAACAGTTACAGGTTTTTTTAAAAAAAATAATTTGCATCATAGAATGTTGTTATTGGGGGGAAAAAAACCACTTTAGTAATTTTAAAGTGATCAGCCTAGAAAGGGCTATTTCTCCTATAACTATCACTTTTGAAGACTTGGAAAATAGGAGCTGTCCATTGAGACTGCCATGAATCTTGGTGTTCACAATTGTGTTATAATGCAAAAAACATTCAAATAGCATTTTTTTCAGAGATTTCAGTTCTCACAAAGGTGGAAAGAACAAACACAGTTGCTCAGAATGGTGCTCTCAGGTACAAAAGCAAACACGTGGCCAAAAAACTCAAGGTGCTTTAAAGTCTACAATAGATGTGTGAAGTAACGAGGAACTGTACCTTATGCATCAAAAGCTTTAGATTGGAAAAAAATGAATAATAAATTGTTGCTTATTCTCATTAGAAAAAACGTTACTGGAAAAGATAGCTGAGATTAACTTGTCAAGAAAATAAAAATCACAAAGTTGTGGCCACTAAAAAATATTTAGACTGTGATCTCTATAGTTTTCTGCCTTTTTTTAATTGCATTTGCTGGATAAATTCCACTGTTAGAGACACATCTGGTTTTTTTGGATAAAGTTACCTAACTCAGAATAAAAGCTTAAAAATTACTCTCACTGCTCTGTCCACTGAAGATTTTGTATTCTTTTGATACCTACTAATGGTTGTTTCCTTTACAGAAAACACTTGGTACTAATGGATTAGGAGGAGGATATTTTAATATAGAGTGTAAGAAACCATAAACAATGCTTTTAGCTAGTTTCTGCTGAACATTATTCAGTCCACATAAACATTTATTTTAAGAGTATCATCTCGTTTGTATTGTGTTTGTTAATGTGTTTGAATTATGTATCTATTTATTGTACTACTCACATCTTTTCATGGGGTGACCTCTAATTACTGTCACGGTAACTTGAACTCTTAAACCTCTCTTGTGACACATGTCATTAAAAAAATACAAGTTTTGCTGAACACTTTTAAAATTTTTACTCAAATATTCATTTGATTTCTTTCTTTTATTAAATACTTAGCTGTTTTTATAACGTAAGGTGCTTGTGCTTGCAGGGAGACTGTGATTGAGTCCCAAAGGGAACGCATTGAGGAACTAGAACGTGCTAGAGAGATGCTTGTGAGTCAGCTAAGAAGGAAAGGAAAGGAAATTGAAGAATCCGTCCTACGGCTGAAAGAGCAAGAAACAACAAGCCAAAGGTATTGTGAAAAATAGAAATCTCCATGGTGGAAGCATTAGAAGAGCTATGTCATAATACTTATATATAGCTGTAAAAATTACTTGTTCTTTTAAGAAATATGTGCTTTATTCAGTTTTTCCCTTTGGTGAAACTAAGTCATAAAATGTTATACCAAATAGCCATGGATAATTCTAACCAAGGAGATTGTTCTGATAATACGTTATTATGTTTTTTCACAAATAAACAAAGAGGTTCATAATTGCCATTTTAGAGAATTCATTTCCAGCTGATTCAGATTCAATTGAAGATTAACTCATTAAATTTTAATCATCTATTGTTTCTTCAATATAATTACTAGAAAATTTTAGATATAGGTTCATAGGGGATAATTTAATGTTCATTAATAGTCATAGATAATTTGGAGTCTAGAAATAGTAGAAAAATAGTAGCCCTGTAAGGGTAAATTAGGAAATTTTTGAAGGAATGTGGTATATCTGTGGAGTGAAACAAAGCCAGACAAACATGTTTGTGGAATGGTTTCACAGTAAAGCCTCTATTAGCTTTAATCTCTTTTCTTTCTCTCTCTCTTTCTTCTTTCTCTTTTGCCAAAAATATATGCAAAATTATACAACTTGGCATATATTTTTCCCTGTTTTTACTGTTTCAATTTCAGCCTGTTACTTTTAATTGTATTAAGGATCTAATACAGCGTGATCTTGCATTCCTTACTCATTTGATTTCAATGAAAGTTTTACTTGAATGAGAAATACGTGGTCAGTTCTTTAGCTGCCTTTCAAGAGAGGGACCCCGTTATTATGTGTGAGCATTCTTTTATGCATCAGTGGTGCTACATAAATAATACATCATAATGTTTGCTATTAAATTATTCACAAAGTCGTAAGTCTCCCCTATTCAGAATTTCCTTTATATAGTTTAAATAGGTTAAAGAAGTTGTTATCATAAATAATTTCTCACTCTGTGCCTACAGTGAATTCAGAAAATATTTAAAAGATTTTTTTCATTATTTGAAAATAATCTGATACAAATCTCAAAGAACTTCTGTGCTTCATTTTTCTGTAGATCAGCACTGTTCTTTAAGTACAGCAGTCAGAAACTGAATATAACTTCTAAATTTGATGTCAGCTACCACGTCTCTGTGAAATTTTTAAGTTCTAAGGTAAAGATACACTTCAAGTTCAGCTAAAAAAATCCTTAAATACAGCCAGACTACAAAGGTAGTCCAGGTCCTTATTTATTTGTATTTATCAAATTACTTGTATACAATCCATGATACTTGACCTACGTTACAATCTGTGAATTCATGTTTGAAGTTCTGGAATTATTTCCTTTATAGTCTATTTCTTGTTTGAAACTGGATAAAAGATATGTTAAGAGTTACTGTGTTTGGCTGAAGATACTGGGAAAGAAATTGAAGAATGTCCACTAGTGCATATCCAGAATAGTGTGTGTTCTATAATTTTGCCATTAGAATACTTTATGAAAGGCTGTTAAACCCCATGTTTTTCAAGTAGGTTCGTTTTTTTTATTTAATGCTGAATGAACCAAAGCCAGAACTTAGAGCGATACTGTTCTCTCCAGGTTTAACTCTAACCATAGGTACCTATGCGCATTATCTTTAGGAGATTTCCTTCTTGGAAACCTTGTAACTGCTATTTAGAGCAGTCTGTATTAGTTGTTTTATTACACAAATACATTTATAGGTCTATATCATTCTTATTTTTAATAGTCTTTGCATCAGCAAAGAAGAAACTGTCAATACCAGAACATCGGAGGAAAAATTGGAAATTTGGCTGATAAGATCATCTTATTTAATCTTTGTACCTTATGTCTTTGAATTTTGGTGCAATTGGCAGGTTTTTATTGTGTTTTGTAAGAATACACTTGGCTGTCATCTAGTTACGTTACTACCCAAAGACAGTTAAGCTATTCAAATTATTTAAGAACTGGTTTGTGCCCAAAGGACATAATAAATGTGCTTCCACCAATGTTCATGTTGTAGTAGCGTTTGATCTTAGCCTGGTGTTAACAAAATTAGGTTACTTTCAACCTTTAGGAAAACATTCTTTATTCTGCTACATGATTAAGAAGTTCTTGTGATTGAAATAACTAGTTTCCAAGTAGTGAAGCAGCCACAGTTACTAATCAATTGATCCATCGGCAGTAACAGAGTGAGACATTATTTATCCCAAGTCCTATACCAACAAGAAATCCAGTTATATTTTAAAGATGCCTTTGCAGCTTCATTACTGTTTCTGTATAACACCACAAGACCTACGTAACAGAGCTGAGTTCGTATGCAGTGTGATCCTTGAGAAGATAATTGTAACATGGCTGCAATCAATGTTTTTTTTCACTGTTTCACTAGAGATTGTTTGGGGATTGTTTCAGGAATATACACTTCTGATTTAATTCTAACTTAAGGGAGAACCCTGGCCTGTGGGTTGTTAGACTAAACATATTTTCTTAAGTAAAAAATTTAATTGCATTTAGAATGATTGTTTTTAATTTTAAGATGGCCAAAACCATAACAACCTCGTGGTTTGGTGTCGATGATACACAGTGTGCAAGTTAAAATGTTAGGTTTAAACAATCACATTTTGCAAGCAGCTAGCTTCAAATGACTTAATTGCTCATCATACTTTCCAAACACATTTTTAAAGCCACCCCAAAATGCATTTGTGAAACAGGTACCCGAGTTTTACACATTACTGAGGTTTTTGTGTTTTGTTTGTTTGTTTTGATGAGAAAAGCTTTTTTGGCAGTCAGGTTTTAATTCCTTTGTCATTTTTTTTCTGCAACATGACTTTGGAATTAGACCTATTAAATGTGTGAATCTTTGACCAGGAGTATCATATCTGATGCACTTGTGACTTCTATTTTTGCATTATAGCGTTGCAAACCTAGGTTAAAATGTAGAACATTAGTCATAATGCATTATGTAAACAGTTTTGAGAGACTACAGCCTGTATATGAATTTGCTAAATCATGTCTGTCGTGTTTGTATGTATGTGTCAAGTATCAAAAAAACAAAAACCAAACCCTTATGTTTGCATTTCCATATCTGATTTTTTATTTTTAACCAGTTTCCCTAAAGATCATTTCTTTTTTCATTTGTAGATAGCTTTTTTAGCCAGGCAAACAAATTTAGAAATTTATATTGGTATTTATACCATCTTAATAATTTAGGTGCTAGAGCTATTGATGCAGTGCTAATGTTTTGCTTATTGCCAATATACTGTCAATTACAACATAAAGGTACTACAAGAAGGTAAACATGGTCGAGGGTTCCCCCCCGCCCCTTTATATTGACTTCCTATAAGAAATAAGAGGTAAAGGAAAGAACATAATCTATATCAACATATAATCCTGTTAGATACTAAGCATTGTAAAATGAGAAGAGTACTGCACGCTGATGTTCGATTCTTTATTTCTCTGCTTGGGAGTCTATGTATATATCTTGGCCATTGATGCATTTGTGATTGAAAACTATTAGCCTGGAAACCTTTTGTTTATTTTGCCAGACAGGGTAAGTGGTCTTGAGAAATATGGGGGTGATATTTTTTTTACTTGCTTGTTTTTCTTGTTCTGAAATTTTGTGAGCCACAGGTTCAGTTGATACAATAGTCAGGACTCTCTCAGAGTAGTCTCAGTATTGTATCTGTGTCCTGCTCATATGGAAGTAAAGACAAGATGCAAGGGATGTGGTTTAATTAGACCTCAATTTTATTAGCTTAGCCATCTGGGATTTACTGGCATAAATTTGTACAGTGCAGGTCAAGATCCTTTCTTTAATTGTTTCCTTCTGGTGTAGGTTGCTATCAGTCCCCCATTCCCACACAGCTGGTCCCCAGCCTGTTATTGGGACCCCACTCTATATGCTTTTAATCCAAAAGATAAGAGGTCTGGAGAAGACATTGTCTCTTTGGTGTACTTCAGACATTAACCCCAAACATAATTCTTAGGTTTTTTTAAAGAGTCACTTTCTCCTAACTTCATTTCCAATTTCAGACTTTTTAATCCAGCTTTAAGATGAAGTTTAGTGTGGATGGACAGAGTTCATGTTCCTTATATCTGCAGTTGTGGCAGAAGGCATGCTAGAGCTAAATCAGTATGCTCATTAATCCAGCTTAGTTCCTCTAAAGGGATAGTAGCTCCTTTTCTTTTTCTAACTTCTACTCCAGGTTTGCCTCCTTGTCTTCAGGTTCTGTGGCAGAATTTTGGGCTTTTTTGGCAACAGAGAAATATTGAATGAGCTATCTTTGTCCAGCTTTATTCTTATACATTATTTTGTTATTCTTTGAGCAAAATATTATCTACATAAGTGAAAGGTAGCATTGACTTTTATATCAAATCTGTATATAACCCCTATTATATCAGAATACCCGGGCAGATGTTCTGGGAGCAGAACACATTAACTCCTGGGAGGGAGATAGCTGTGTAGATAATCAATTTCTATTCTATTCTACTCTTTTGTGACTTCATTTACAGAAAAATTAATCTTCCCAACAGAATCGTCCTCAATTAACTTTACCTTGCCCACAAAATCTGAAATGATTTTGTTGTTCAGCAGTAAACTTCTTGTCATGTACCTAGATGCATTGGACGTGTCGTAGACCTATTTTATTTAAATAAACAAATAAAATATTGTAGAAGTACTGTAGAGAAATAATTTTGTTGCTGCAGCCTATGATGAGAGCTGAGATTGTGATTGATGTAATGCACTAATAAGAATTTAACGGCACATGCTTTCCGTACCTAGAAACTTCATGAGATAAATACTCTTAAAATTGTAAGAATTTAAATGATCCCAATAAAAAGTAATTTTTCACTTCCAAATTTGAATAATTTGCTTCATAATATCAGTACCCCAAACCTATTTAAATCAAATGCTGTTTCATTCGCTGTTGAAAAAATAGTTAATGTTGATTGTCAGGAGCCATGGGGTTTACATCTGTACATCATAAATTTCACTATCATCTGCTCCTTTTTCTACTTAAAAAGGAAAAAAAAAAAAAAGCCCCCTGCTTAAAAAAAAAAAAGTACCCTGCTTAAAAAAGAAGGGGAGGAAAAAAAGAAAAAGCCTTTGAAGGCATCAGAGCCTTTTGTTTGATGTGTGGAACAAGATTAATAAAAACGTGCCACTACATTAGCTTTTAAATAGCTAGCATGAGACAGTGCTGCTGTCTATACTCACCACAACTTTAATTTATGTAGATAACATGTTTTAGACACATGATAGTTTTAGCATTGCGTTAGGGCCTTTTCTTGCGGAAGATCTCGGGTTTGTGACTGTGTTTATCTTCTGTGTAAGGACAATTAACTGGGCAATGCCAAAACACTGTAGGCTTTGATATTTTACAGAATAAAAGGAAAGTATTTCACGTACTCAGCTGGTTTACAGATGTGTAAGCTTTGTAGTCCATTTTCTTGCTGCAGCATGGCTTTGTGACAATTCCTCCAATAAGTCTAAGATAGGTAAATATTGGAAGAGAAATTAACTTTTCAAATGCTAAAGACTTATTTTGATTTTATCATATTTTATATTAATACAAATCAGAATTGGTTTTGCTTCCCATACTTGAAGAAGCTGTGAAAATAACAGGGTTTAGTTTCACTGCTTGAATTAAGAGAAAACACCAGAAATAAGTATTTATTTAAATTTTGAATTATTTTAAATATCATTAAACAGTACGTTCTCAAAATTAGTCTTAGAATTGTAACAGTATGGAACATCTACATGGATATTAAAAATGATTTTCATGTAGTTAAGACACGCCTCCAGCTTGTTTGAATGCCAGCTTTAAGGTGTTATAGTGTAAATTGCAAAGTCACTTTTTCTTAGCAGTGTTGGATAGGTTTAAACTATAAGAGGAAACTGCTTAAAATGGTAATCTACTGCCACCAAATACTTTGGAGGGTCGAAAATGAGTGAGTGGAAAACAAATAATCTCTTTAGGTATAGGATTGTTTTCTCTTCCTGTCATATATAGTTTGATATGATAAACAAAGCTGTATATATATCGATTGAAGTTGCTACGTCATCATGCGGTAGAATATTTATTTACCTAAATTCTGTCATGTGGATTATAGAGTAAGAAAATTATTTGGGTATTATGCACTAAATCTTCTCCCAAATGTGTTGTAGAAAGCTGATTTGCAAAGGATTTCAACTTTTCAAGACAAAAATAAGAAGATAATTCATTTTGTATCTTTAAGCTCATGATGTATTTCTTCTTAATACAATTTTGAAGGCTAAACATTCGGGACAATGTGGAAATGATCAAGGTCCGTAAACAGCTGGTTGAGAAAAGCAATGCTCTTTCAGCAATGGAAGGAAAACTTCTCCACCTTCAAGAGGTAATTGCAGTTTGGTCAGTAACATTCCATTACTTTTGTCACATAAGCATGCGTAAATGGAAAATAAATATGCACAGTTCTTGATTCTGAGTCAATGCTGAGGACATGAAAATGAACCACATAATACATTCACCCAAGGTACTCCAAATGTATAAGGTTTTTTTAGTCTTAAAATTATTTCTTTTTTTTCAGAAGGGTCTAGTAGGTCTAAAGATTCTATCTGCAAAGCCATCTCAGGCAGATTGTGGAGAACGACTGAGTTGTCTGGTGATCTAAAGAGATTCCTGATCATTTAAAAAGAGGGCTTTGACTTAAATGTACTGACTTACTAAAGAAGGGGCTCTAGATCCCCCTCATTTTATCAGTCTTTTATAAAGTTGGGGGAGGTTTGGCTGTTTAGAGTTCTGACATTAGGACATAACTTGTGTTCCTGAGTTCATGGAAATTATTCTGGAGGGCTACTGTAAGTAATAAATTTTCTTTATAAAAAGAGCGTTTTTATAAAAATGTCTCGTGAACATGCAGCTGTGTGGTAGATTCTGTATAGGTTTTAGTTATACAGCATTTTTCTGCTTCTTCCCATGTGTATTTGGAGAACCGCATGTGTATACAGGCAGTGGTAGTATGATAAGTGTAGAAACAGGAGAGTTCTGAGTAGGAATTCTACGCACAATAGATCTTTATGAAGTATCCTAGCCTTATGAGGTGGAGGTACTAGATGTCCTTGTAAACTTACTGCCGCCTGCTTCTTGTATTTTGGCATGCTAAATAACTTGTGCCATTAGATTTTTGTTCTGTTCCTTTTTTCCTGTGTTTTTGTGCTTCTAAGCTTTGCTTTGCTTTGCTTCCCACTCCCTGCCCCGCTGTAATACCTGTATCTTCTCTGCCAAAACAGGTCTTGTGTTAGTAGCTCAAATCTAATTTTTCACAGGGTGAACTATGTAGGGTGTAAACTCCAGGGGAGACAGGTTTCACATGGCTTTTTGTGTTCTTAAATAGAAAGCGATAAGTAAACCATTCCATTTTAAAGCATCTGCGACTTTTTGGTAATTTACAGCAAGCGTCAAGTACTTAGGCCTCTATCTTGGCAGCAGCTGAATGGAAACAGATGCCTAGGATTCAAACTCGTATTTGAAGACATTGTTTCTGATATTCACAGTGAAAGCTGCGTTTTTGAAAAGCACGAGTGTGGATCTCATGCTTTTTTTTTTTTTTACAAGATAATGCATACAATGTTTTTCCCATTTCCAGTCATTTGAATGTTTGAAACATGTCTACTAAATATGAATAACTGTAAAATCCAACATTTCTAGTTTAGATGGCACATAAAGTACTTATCAACAGAGCAGTTTTTAATATTTTTAATGTTTATCTTGATGATTTTTTATGACTATTGAGTTCATTATCATTTACTTTCAGCTTCTACCAGTTGAAACCCATACAGTTCCTTCGTGTTCATCTTTGAACTTAAGTCAGCCCAAAATGTGAAACTATGAAACTACAAAACGATAAGAGCCTGTAATCCTGCTCCATCTAATGATATTGAAGTTTGCTAGCAAACGTTTACAGGACAGTTTTGTTGATGAAGAATTTTAATGCAGCCAGTTGAATGAAGGAATTGTGTAATCTTCTTAAAAGAGGATTAGATTAGAAGGACCCTGAAACTGTTTGGATTATGTATTTGTTCCCATTGGTATATTTATTTGCTTCAGTTACAGGCTGAACATTCAGGATTTCATGATGTGTAATGGAAGTATGCTAACCTGTGCAACTACAATTTAAAATACTATAGAGAGTTAATTCTTCTCTTGAAGAGTACAACAATTTCACAACTATAATTCAGAACTGTTTACATTCGCTTGTGCAATATTTCTAGGAGGTATAGATCCATTTTCTTTAAATGAGTTGTTTCTAATTGACAACGATATCAAGGCATGTTTCCCAAAGAAAGAAAATTCCAGACTAGGAATACCAAACTAAAATCATCATCCCAATTGTTGCCATGACCCAAGTCTTGGGATACTCAAGGGAGAGTGGGATAGAAAACAGTTTGAGGCATAATGGAAAAAAAGTGCTGACAGAACACTCAGATATAGAAGAATATCCAGGTAAAGATTGCATTTGGAGGGGGGGGAGGGAAGTAATAATGAGGGTGAAGTCATGGTACCATTAAAGTTAATGAGGAAGGTTAATCCAAAATGGTCAGGAGAATAGCAGAGACACTGAAGGATTAGAATGAAGTTGAAGCAAGCAGATTTTTCAGGAGGATGTTTTTAGTGCTTTTAATGAGATGGTTCAGTAGAATAAATACGGCTGTTGAATTTGTTTTTAACGGTTTTGAAAAGGAAAGAGATAAGGGTGAGATGGTCTAATAAATGCTGCTTTGCCAAGATGGCAGTGGGGGAGTTTCTTCATGTATAGTGGGTTGAAGTGATGCAAGTTATTGAAATGGAAAAGAACTTCAGGAAAAAATTGAAGCTGAGAGATGGAGAAGAAAAGACGAGTTCACTTGGACAGTTGGAAGGGTTAGAAACCGTAAGGATTCTGATTTTGAGGAGAAAGGAAAGAAATTTGGAAACAAATGAAAAGTGTAGAAATTATTTTTAAGGTGTCATTTTTTTGAAGTTATTGAAATACGGTTCACAGATATAGGACAGAGCAAGAGGAGCACTGAAGAAAAGACTTAAAGATGAATGAGTAATATACCTCGTTATCTCTCTGAAATAAGACTGGCTGCTAATATTGTTTATTTTCCATGGCTTTTTTCTTATGGAGAAATGAGAGGCTGAAGATCAGGTTGGCGATTGGGTTTTCTGTGGGTTTTTTGTTTGTTTCTAGGATATTCAGACTGCATGTGAAGCTAAACAATTTGTACAGGGTTCACATTCAGCTTCTCCATTTAACTGCTTTGTAGGAATATTATATGGAATACATGAAGCTAACTTTTTTCTGTCTGCAGTCCTTAAACATTATCTATGCTTATACATGTATTTGACATAAATTTTCATATAATCATTTTATTAAACAGGAAATTGGCTTTTGGGCTGTTTTGTTTCAAGTCAAACTTTGAGTGTGGTTTACATTGAAATTCTTAATGAATGAGGCTTTAATAAAGCATTGTGGAATGTAGGGAGTATAGTATTAACTAATATTCTGGAAATAGAGGTTCTATCAGCGTCATCCATTTAATATTAAAATTGGTTAAATGTGCCTTAATATAATCTATTGAAGTAAATTAAAATGTAAAAGAAATCGTAAGTCCCTTGTTAAATTACTGCTAGCGGGGAAATAGAACTGAGTGCATTAGGATTATAAAACAATTATATATCTACAACTAAGGGTTAACAGAGCTGTGGCAAGTTCTGTGATTGACATAACTGTGGTCAACATTCATTTTTTGCTTGCTACTGCAGTGTTTTTGGTCAGCATGTCTAACCACTGTAACCACAGCAAAATCTTTTAATTGCTGAACAGATGTATTTCTTGGTCGTTTTCATCATGGCTGAACTGAGGGTTTCATGTTCATGAGAGCATCAAGAATGCCACCTTCTCCTGGCCATGCATAATGAAAGTTGCTTTCAGTTAGTTCAAGAGTGCCTCCTGTTGACCACATTGAGAATATCTATTAAATACTGCCATGAGAGACCACTGGTTGAATATGTAGAGTGTTGTAACATTCTACTAAGTGTGATTATTAATTTTTTTAATTATTTATTTATTTTCCTTTTCTGTATTTTTCTTTCTTTTTCATAGAACCAAAAGAACTTGAAGATGAGCCATGATGCTCTAATAGCAAAAGGTGATGAACTGAATCTGCAGCTTAAAGAGGAGCGGTTAAGGTGCCTCCATCTTGAAAAAAAATTGCAATCAGTGACTATTTCAAACCAAAGGACAGATGAGGTGAGATAGTGTTCAAGAAAGCTAGAATCTGCTTTAGGTAGTACACATCGATAAAGGAAAAGTTAATGATGGGGTACCTTTTGATTGCGGAGATGTGAATAGACCTTTAAAACGCATTTAGAAGACTGATCTGGTAGTATATACACTTTTATCCCATTAAAAAGAAAATCCTGTGGCTGCTGCTTGCATTTCGTAGAATCATGAACCATACCTGGTCCTCATGCCACATAATGACTGCATCAGTGTTTGGACAGTATTTGAGCTTAAAGCATAGGATTCCATGTCAATTCTGATACTAAACAAGTAGTTTCTTAACCAGAAAAACAAAAAAACATAATACTTGATTTATTGGTCTTGTATTGCTAGTTTTTTAGTATTATTTCAATCTGATTTGATTACAGTACAGTGAGGTATTACTTCTTACTCAGCAGTTCAAATCAGTCACTTCTATCTCTTTGTCTAGAGGCTCTCGGAGACAAGTATCACTAACAGTCACCCACATATAGGGCTAAAAATCAAGTGTGTTATTCCTTGTTCTATTCAATACATGAGGTGTAAGAGTCTACAGACTTAATTGTTTTTTCTTTCATTTTGTAGCTACTTTAGTTTTACCACCTGGTTTACCTGTTTCGAATGTATTTTAAATGTACCTTTAAACTATTATAACGCATGTAGTGTATATCTTCTGGGTTAAAGCATCTCGTAGCTTTAAAACCATATCCTGCTTTAGTGAATGTTTCGAAAGCAAGGACTTGTTGTTTCTTCTATAAGATCAATAAAAAAATATTTACAGGAGCCATGAACTAGGTAATATAATACTCACCGAAACAGAAATAAAAAAATTTAATGCTATAGATTTTTTTGTTGGGTTTTTTTTTTTGCATAAGGCAGAATGTGATTAGATACTGTTGTTCAACTGCGACATGTTACTCTCAGCTTCATATAAACAACATGAAAAAGACTGTCTCAGCCAAATGTAAGTCCATGTGGTGAAAAAAAGTGTTACTTTGGAACTTCTAAGAGACTGTTGTATAAAAAGAACAAATAAAAACTTGACAATGCCTACAAGTTATTATCTAATTGTCTTTACACATTCATTGTAATTTCCTTTTGTGCTATGCATTGCTTGAAACTTCCTTCTTCATTTTAGTTACAGGAAAGAATAAATGATCTAGAAAAAGAGAAGGAACTCTTGAGGGAAAACTATGATAAACTGTATAACAGGTAAGTTACGATTTCTGTGTATAAAAAACTTGATTCCTGTCCTGTTTAATAGGTCTTCATATACTGTGTGCTTGAACGTGCGTATGCATATTGTGTGTGCACACATGTAAATATATTTGTGCTATAGTTCATCATATCAATAAGCGTTTATGGAAACTTTTATGGTGATCTACCTGTATTTCATCTGTTCTGTTAAAACAGAGCAGCTTCCATACTTGTTCTAATACTCCCGAAATAGTAGATTACTACTTTTTAAAAATCTAATTAAAAACTAAGTAGAAGTCACTTTATTTTGAACATCAATGCAAAAAGTTCTTATTTGAATTTCTAATAATTTTTTTAGGTGTTTTGTTGAAAGAATAATACACCTAGGTAGACATACCTTCCTTTGGGTTTATTTTACTTTATTTTATTTGGGGAAAAGTGGTCTTTGAACTTTTTGTACAAGTTCTTCCCGCACTTACCAGTGGACCTGTATAAAGTCTCATATCTGACAGCTTCTCCAGTGTTTATTTTTGAGGGGTAGTTCGTTTATTTTGGTAATAGCTACCATTTTGCTTGTACTGGTTCTGCTTGAAGTTTTTGTATATGCTCCTGTAAGTTTTTACAAAGGTTCCTATGCATAATAAGTTGTGTAATTGTATCGGCAGTGCTTACAATGAAAATACATTGCCAGATATGATTCTGAAATTCTCTGGTACAGGAAAGAAGTAATTATAGTCAATTAATACAAGCATACTAAAGGAAAAAATGACCTTCAGATGAACTTTTCCTTTACTGTGAAACCATGTGGTCTTTTACACTGAAGAAGGTTCGAAAATCAGAGAAATTTCCTAGAGCTAATAATTGCCTCAGAAAGTAGGTAAAATGCTTGAAGTCTTTTCTCATATCAAAATTGTGTTTCCTCTTAAAGTTTGTTTGGTTTGTCAGTGTGATGTCTGTCAAAAATAATACTAATGAGTAAACACAATGTGAGTGATGTCAAGTGTTATTCATAGTATGCGTACAATATTTATTATACTTTTTGTACTTTCTACAGTGAAATTAAAAATTATAGTAAAAAACGGTGCATACAAATAGCTTAAAACATTTTTTTACATATGAGATGTAACAGTTGTATAATGACAATATTTAGAGTTTTGTATAAGGGTAGTTGATCAGTTGTCTCTAGCTTATTTCATTGTAGATTCCTCCAAAGTCTGATCATGTTACAAATATTTCTGATTTATGATTTTTTTTCTACTCTATGCAGAGGAATAAATCCTACTAACAAACCACCTTACAATCTTGGCTTGAAATTTTCTGTTCTATTTAAATCATAGTGGGATAATTAAAAAAGATGTTTAATAACATAAATTTAAATATGGTTCTCTCATAACCCAGTAATCTAAAATGCGGCTTTACTTTTGCCTAAAATGAACTGTCTTTTCATATACTCCTATTTAAACTTTGATTCATGTTCCATCATTCCATGTTACCATATAAGTAACAAGAAATTAGAAAAAGAAATGGATCATTTCATTATAACTACTGTTTAATGGCCAATTTCTTCTGTTGCCCATTTGAACGATGCAACTTTGCTACAAGTTACCTGTTGCTAGGAGTGGATAGGCCAGTGTCCACAGGTGCCAGATAATTACTAAATATTTCTTTCTTTTTTTTAATGGAGGATGAGAGATGTAAATCCATTCTTTGCTAATGTTATTTTTTTTGAAATTCATTTGAAGTTGATGGGGAATTTTGCCGAAGCCAAGACTGCAGAACTGGATCTGAAAAGTTTACAAAGAACAAGTATGAATTTGTCAGTTGACTTATTATTTAGTCGGTATCCAAGAAAACAATTCGTTTGGATTAAAGGTTTGGAGGAATTGTTTTCATATGACCTTGTAATGCAAATCTAGTAATGCTTAAACTCCCTCCAAAGGAAACGGTGCCAGATGTGGTTGACCATTTATAGTTACCCAGATGGCTCCAACTCCAGTGAAATACAGTAAATGTGAAAGAAGGTCCACATGAATTCAAGTAAAAGTCATGTTGAAATTCAAAGGAAGAAACTGACAGAAGTGGACTCAATTCAAACTGACATAAACATTAGCATTATATAGGCTTGGATAAAACCTGTTTTCTAAATTGTTCTTCATTTAAACATCTACATTTTGAATTACTATCATAGTAACCGTTAATGCTTTTTCTGCCAGCGTAGTCTTTTGAAAAACTGAAATTATGTGTAGCCACACCTTTGCGTGAAGCAATTGTACCTAAAGATAACAAATGCACATATAACTAGATATCATGGTCATTAAAACTTGGGAATGTTTTCAGACCTGTGAAAACTAAGGGTATTTGATGTCTTTTCTTGCTAAGATTTATTCTTTCCTTACGGGAGCCAATCAAACTTTGAAGAGTGGTAAATATAAGCAATTACAGCACCTACTGTGTCTCTTCTGTACCTATGCAGTATTATCGAAATGATTGTGGGTTCTGTGCATTATATTCAGTGCATATTATCTTCAAAATTATAGCAGAGTGAAGTATATATTGCTGTAGGACTTAGCATACATGAACTTAAGCAACGTTTCTATAAAAGACACTCTATCACACCGTAAGCTGGTATATGCCTGGAGAACTGTATAAATAGATGAGATGGGTACAGTATGAGAAAAAGACTGTTTCTATGAAGATCACAAATTGAGAATGTAAACTCTTGCCGTCTACTTTATATACACTTCATGCTATAATTTTTTTCTTTAATCTTAAAGTCATTCTTCAAATATGTTAGACATAAATGCACTTGTATGTACTCAGAACAACTTTATTTAGTCATAGCCATCAAAACAGGCGGTTCTCTTTCAGTCAGCATGTACAGTCTTCGAAGCTATGTGGGCTGTCCCTTCTGCAATATTTCTTCTCCTCTATGTTTTTTTGGTTGAGGTTTTTGTTACCTAGATCTTTGGGATAGCTTGATAAATAGCTAGATATCAGAAGATCTTTTTTTTTATGCATTTATAGATGTAAAATATAATTCTTTTAACTGCTGAGCTTCTCCAAGGTGAAGACTTGAGGAACTGACTCTCTTGTTTAAAAAACCTCCTACAACTACTAATTTTTCACTGAACACAAAAGTGAATAAACTGGTTTATCATTGGTTAAGATAAAAGACATTTTTTCCAGCCAATAAGAATACAAGTATTGAATAATAATAATATGAAGGCTATAATACTCACTGTCTAAATTATATGAAAGCACATTGCATTGCTTTGTCCTTTCACCTACTAGGAATTATACTGTAAATTATTTAATGTACTTAATTGTGTTTCAGTCTGAGTTACACATTTTGTTGTGGTTGTAGCAGTTCTGATTCTGTGTCCATGCAATCCTTTTTGCACATAGATTGGTAGTTTACAAGTAAATACTGTGTTACAGGCAAAATAGTTACTCTAATTTCTTTGCCCACCTCTGTTTTTTATTTCTTAACGTAGGAGAAAGATTACTTTATACGTGCTTCTTAATCAGTATCAGAATTGTTGTTTTACAGTATGAGAAAACTGTTGTCGCTTTGTGGTCAAGATTGCTTTGAATGGGCAACTGACTTCAGGCTCTGCGTGTTTCACAGATTTAAAAGAAATCAGGCGGGTGATCCCAGCTCTCTACATTGAGAGGTTTTATATGCGGAAAGAATGGTTTTGTCAGTTGTCAGTTGCTGAGGTTTGGAGTTGTGGATTACTCTGGGATATGCATCTGAATTCCTTTTCTAGTCCCACAAATGTTGCATGCTGCCAACTTTTCTGACTTTGGAGCTCTAAATTAAGGCCAGTTCCTTTGCTCATCCCACAAACTCTTTCATGTTTTTTAACCGCAGCCTGAGACAGGCGCCTTGGTTTCAACAGCAGCAGACCAGCATATGTTTACTTAATTCCTAAGACATGATGACAGTGGTCTCTGTGCCACTAAAAGCTTTTTTCTTTATTATTTTCTGTTGAAGCTGATTTCTAAAAGTTTTTCACATGCCACATGTTTTATTGCAGTGTCTTCAGTATGACCCATGAACAGCAATGGATATTAAAGGAACAGCAACTGAAACAGCAAATTGCTGAACTAGAGACTGCTATCAAATCTGATTTAGCAGACAAAAATGAAATCCTTGACAAGATCAAAGTAGAAAGAGGTATATTTCTGAAATAACTATCATTTTCTCATGATGTGAGGTTCTCCTGTGTTGGAGTTTGGGTATATTGCCCGGAAAAATGTAGTTTCTCTTGTTGGTGATTTCAGAGCTGCCTTTCAAATGTACGTTTCAACAATACGCTTAATTTATGACTAGCTATTAAGTACAAAAATTGACCCAATAGAGGTTATGTGCTGAATGAAGATCCTATAACTCCAGGTACATTCATTCTTCATCTGTTAGCTTAATATTGATGCTTTATTGTATATTTCTCTTCTACATTGAAAATTCTTATGGAAAAGAGGACTATCTAACAGTCTCTCTCAAATTATAAACCACTATTCTAATTTTATTTACTGTACGAAGTTACGTGAAGCCTATGTAGGCCCTTGAAGATAGTTAACTCTCTTTGTTTTGTGAATTCAGAATTTTTTCAATATTTTCAGTATACACTAATTTTTATTTAGTTACGTACATTTACAATAATACAGTTTTCTTCCAATCTACTGAACAGATTCTTTCATATGTGCTTTTCCCATGCTGTAGGACAACTTCTCAGAGAATCTTTAAGACCTTGCAGTCTTCTTTTTTTTTAATCTCAATATTGTGATATAATGTGACAAAGAGTTTACAAAGCAAGAGCACTGGCAGGAAGTAAACTAAATGTTTTTAGTGTTGATTCTTCAAATCTGTATTTTTAAAAGGTGTATTTCCGTGAACAAACTAATGGAATGAAGTGGGCCAACTTGTGAATAATTCTTCTTATGACTGTGGCTCGATTTCAGCGTGTGCTTACCGTTAAGATTCTGAGTAGCTCTACTTACTTCAAATACCAGATTAAATATTTAAACATTTTATTTGACCATATTAAGTGTTTGCATAACTAGCCTTAAGTGATACTAAAATATATAAGATTCCTTAAGTAATATGAAGTTATGACATATTGACAGTTAGAGACAGTTAATGACAATTTGATTACGCAATGCAAAATTTGAAGTGATATTAAGTGCATGAAAATGGTATAGGCCGTTTGGTTAAGCTGAGTGTGGAAAATCAGGCAACACCTTCCGTTGTCTATCCTTCCTGTGGGCATTATATTTAAGTGGCAAGTCTTTACTACCCCTTCCCCAGATTGGCACTTAATAGCTTGGGTATACTCTTAAACTGGATCACCAGGTTACCACACTTTCAATTTGTATTGAATTGAACTTGCTGCAGCTTGAGTAGATGTTGTAATATCCTTCAAGGCCTATCTATGTATGTAGGATTTGATTACAGCTTCTTGTCTTTGGCAGAACTTAGGCAGTGTAAGTTTCTTCAGTCGCATACTTCAGAGTATCTGCCTTTGCTTCACATCCCTTTTTCAAGCTCAGCAGGACAACTGAAGTAATGTTTGTCTTAACCTACTGCCTGGAACTAGAGTAGAAATAGTGTCTTCTCTATCCTTTGTAGTTTGGCATATAAATCTTTTTTTCAAAACTTCTTTGCCAGGGCTAAGATAGATGTTAAAATAAATGAAGTCTTGAACATTCTTAATGCTACATTAGGCTAATATCTTGCCTTTTTCCTTCTTCTTCAGTAGTTCTCTTTTAGAGTGATCATGTAATTTGGATCTATTTTTTTTAGTATTATTTTTCTGCCCATAACTTCATAATGTGTTTTGTAATACTTAGAAGAAATACATTTAGGTAACAAACAGTAATTTATTTCACCCCATGGGCTGACAAAGAGGGGAGTCCTGTGCCTCTAAGTTGAATCTAGGCGAATTTTGGGTTAAATTAGGGGATGCAAGCTGAGCAGCAGCCAGCGTGTAGCATCAACCCTCATCCAAGTGTGCTCTGATCAGTGTTGATAGTATTATAAGTGGAAACAACCAATAGAGAGTTTGAGTGGCTCCTGATGAAAAACGGTGTAGTTACATGGGAAAACTGAACGGCAGGACCTTCTTGTCACTTCTGCTCCCTAAAGGCTATTGCAAAAGTATTCCCTTTCCTCCTGCATCTTTCTGTGCATGTCTTGCAGTTTTAGCTTTGGTTGGGGTCATGGAAACAGCCTTTTGAGACACTGGTGAGGCAACATGGACAGTGCGACGGTAGACCGAGCTGTGCTATTGACAAACTGGTCCATTTTGGTTCAACAAGCTGTTGAAATTGCCTCAATTGAACAATAGCTGGTTTCCTTTCTACATAGCATTTACAGTTTTGGAGTTAACTTTTTTAAGCAGCAAGTGTGAATGAATATTAAAAATGTCTACAAAAACTTCATTGGGGTTCATGTTAGAAGAAGAGTGGACTGCGCTTGCTGCTTTTACCAGAAAATTCACATGCCAATGAGATAGGAGTACTTGAGGAGGGATATCTTGTCTCCTTATCCCTGGAAAAAGTGCCAGTTCAGATCTTAGCTTATATCGTAGGGAAAAGAAACATCAGCGTGAGGGGCCCTTTTTCTCTGTGGAAACCTCCCAACAGATATAGGTCTTTCAGGTATATTATTTGGGAGAGTCCAGAAGACTCAATTGCTGCTAAGTGTTTCACCATGTTTTATGAAGGCCTGCCTTCTCTGCCCATTCACAAGGCTTATTTTAATTGTTTTCTTATTTGCTTTCTCATTTTTAGCCTTTAGTGTTTCTAATTATATTTTCTTCTCAATTGCACAAACGCATTACATATTCCTCTTAACTGAAGAGAATTAAAACCTTACTGGTGATTATGTTTTTGAATTGAAAGTGACTCTTGTGGAGTCCCAACACATGTATGAGTCAGGCTACTGTGTATAGGAGCAGTGGCATTGGGTGTTTAATTTTTAGTGAAGATGTCATTTGATATATAAACTCTGCAAAATTGAACCGTTTCAAAACCCTTTAGCCTACTGTCTCAGCCACTTTTTTCCTGCTGCAAGCCTCTCCACTGAAAAGCTATTCTGTAAAAATAGCTAAGCTGTGCATCGTGCCCTGAGGGTCAACAGAAAAGATTCCAGCATTAAAAAGATATTGTTAACTGTTTTGTTGGAAGCAGTCAAATATATTCTCAACTAAGTATGTAATGTTTTACCAATCAGCTCCCACGAGTGGAGATGGGAATCACAAAGGCTAATACTCGCACATTAGGTTGACAGTTAACATATCGTTCTGACCTAAAATATGAATTCATAGTAGTTAAGTACATGGTATGAGACTATAACTTTGGGACTTTCAAAAAACACAGGAAAAACTGGCAGGAGATGAGATGTTTATCAAGAGAGTAAGGAGTTTGGCCAAGGGGGAAGAGTGAGAGAGTACTCTTGTTCCTTGGAAACCTCAATGATTTTGAGAGGCTTGCTTTTAAAACTTTTCCATGCAAAAGAAGGTGTGTTGTTATAACTAAATTATTTCACCTAATCCTTAGGTTTTTTCTCTCATCTTATTGAGAAATCATTTGGATGTAGCTATGCATTAGTGGGTATTTGTGTAAAATCTGTGTAAACTTCTACTGATAAGTTTGTGTTTAGTCATTCAGAGTGACAAAGAGTTTTATATCCTTTCTACTCCCCTCTTCCCTCCTGCCCCCCAAAACAGAAAGTTCACTTAGTTGGGCATATCTTTCTATTTAGAAATACACAAAGCATAGGTTTTTTGACACTGTATGATACCTTTTAATGAAAGCAAGAATGTTTTGCTTTTTTAATCCATACACTTATACGAGATCAGAGAGGAGTAATTTTCTATCCCTCTCTTTGATTTGTTAATACCAAAGGTTTACCTATAAATTAGTTTCTACGTTTTAAAACGAAATTCTCATGCGTAAGTTAATATGCAAAAGCAAGTTTATAATTTTTATAATTATGTTGCATTAAGTAGAATATTTTGTTCTTTTTCTATGTTAAGACCAAAAGGAAAAGCTGATGCAAGAGAACAAAGACCTGCAGTTATGCTGCCTGGAACATAAGCAACAACTAGATGAACTGAAAAATCGCATGAAGTTTCTGACCAAGGTGAACTCTATTTCCATTTAGAATATAAGCAAAAAACCCCATTCTATGTTTTATGCATAGTGCAAATACCTCTTGAAAGTAAAAGAATACAGAAATATAACTGTTTATTTATTCATGATATCAAGCAAAATGTCATGTCTAGTGAGAATGCATCTTGTTATTCTGAATGTATTTCTTCGATATTCATTCACATCTGATAACACCTTTTCATTAAGTATTTCTGTTTCAGGAAAGTGATATTGATGTGGCAGAACTCAATGAAGCCCTCTTGCTTATAAAGGTAACTTACAAAGAATGATCCATATGGGAGCTTGGAACTAGATGATCTTTAAGGTCCCTTCTAACCCAAAACATTCTATGATGCTATATATTTGGAATTTATTCTTTTTTTTTTCTTGTTTTTAAACACTCGGTTGATCGTTACATGTTTTATACGCAATGCCAGGGGTCTTTTAAAGGGCTGATTTTTTTTGTGCATCTTTTAGTAGTTAATGCTTCAAGCTCGTACATGGGCTTTTGTCATTTTTTAGTTACAGTGAAGTAGAAGGGAAGATGAAAAAATTGCTAGGATGAAGACTCGGGTTATATAGATAATTCATGGTAACATCAAAAGTGAATTAAGCCGGATTCACAAGCATTTTTTAGAAAAACTTATTTTTTTTGTCAGCTAAATGACTTATCATGCCATCTTGTTCTTTTTATAATATTTATTAAAAATCATTTTTGTTTATTCTGTAATTTGTGGGAGTATACTATAAGTATGGAAGTTCTAAAATGAGATACAGTGATGTGTAGCACTTTCTCTTTGTTTATTAAAACAGAAAACCAAAAATACCCAGACAATGTTCTCTTTTTTTTTTTTTTTTTTTTTTCCTCTTGCGGATAAGTTGTAATTTTATTGTTTACAGTGAAATTGAAAACGAAGTGGGGATGGGGGGAAGAAACCAGTGAAAAATTAAGTTTGCTTTATGTTTCCACTGTTCAGTGACTTACATTTCATTTTCTTGAGGAAGTGTTTACTGTCAATAGAATCTTTTTCAATAGAAGCTTTTTCTGCTACTGAAATGCAAATGATAATTCTATAATGATAATGAAAAAAAGAAAGCAAAAAACCCGAACAAACAAAACCCTAGATGAAAATTAAACCCCCAGTATTTATAACAGAAGCAATATAGACTTGAGAATAATAATTAAGGGTTTGTGCATTCACTGCAGAAGGGATATTATTTATATAAAAGGCAAATATGTTAAGGGTTTTATGTTTTCATTGGATAGACAGGAGTGATTGCTTCTGAATATCTCATACATTTTAATTGGTTCCTGATAATTACAAGATAACATTACTGAATACAATCCCACACTTAGTGGTCTACCTCATTCCTACTTTTTGTGTTACCCCATGCTTAAAATTTACAAAGTTATCCTTACTGTCTTATTGTTGATCCAAAATTATATCCCAGCGTTACATTTAACCAGGTGCAAATGAATCCAAATATTTTGTAGAAGTTTGTTCTAGTAATTTTTCAAATTTGCTCCAGGTTCGAAAGCAGCAGAAGAATGGGGACCTTATGTTTTTGGAAAAAGTAGATGATGATATCCATAAAGATATAGAACACTCCATGCGGGAGCTGCAATTAACACATGCGGAGACAGTGCAAGAACTTGAAAAGACAAGGAATATGTTAATTGTGCAGCACAAAATTAACAAAGATTACCAGGTACTAAACTCTACTCACAGTGGAAAATAACCTGATAATGATATTTTAGCATCGGTAGCACTGAAACTTGTAAGAATTAAGACATGCAAATTCAGTAACAAAGCCAGTCTGTTTATAGGTAACCTAACATGAGATTTACTTTTGAAAATATTGTTTAAAAAGCATGGGATCCAAATGACTATAACTTCAGTCTTTTAACTCGCCTTGATCAGAGCCCTCAAACTATGCCTTCTTGGGATTATCTCTGAGCTCTTATCAGGTCCTCACAGGAAAAATAGTAAGTATACTTATCAAATAAGCTTCCTTTTCCGCAACGCTCTGCTTTTGCTCTCTTGTGCTGGATTATTGCAGGTCATGTTTTGATTTTTCATTCAATTAATCTAAGTTTAAAATAACAAAACCATTAAAGAAACTATTAGGAACATTGTCCTGAAAGAGTAGCTAGTCTGTTTTTCTTAATAATGTTTTTTAGATTTTGCTGAAATTCGAACTGATTGCTGTATTACTGACTTAAAAATTGCTGCTATTTTTGTGTACTCTAAATATTCTTTCCTGAAATCAAACTGTATTTTAATTTGTAGCCAAAAGCATGTGCAGCATCAGCGCAGACAAGTCTCAAAACTCCTTTTTACATGTGGGGTTTTTTTTTTTTCAGACTGAAGTAGAAGCAGTGACACAAAAGATGGAAAGTCTACAGAAAGACTATGAGTTAAAACTGGAGCAGTATGTCCATCTTCTTGATATTAGAGCTGCACGCATCAGAAAACTAGAAGGTATCTTTAAAGTATATTCTTCTCTAATTATTTCTAATGTTTTGTCTCTTGCAAATTATTGTTCTTCAGTTGAAACACTTTTTCATTCCTAAAACTAGTAGAAAAGTCAGTTCTTTCATGGAAAATTATCTGTGTGCTGTTTCATTGACTTAAATGGGAAAGTCATTAATTAAACAAAATTCAACAAAGCCATTTATGCTGCAGCTATTGCTGAATATTACTACCAAACTTAGATTTATTTTTTTTAAAAAGAAATTGTACATTTATGGTCAACCTTTTATTTTGCTGTCCTATCATTACAAAATCATTTTATCTGTTGCTAAAAATCCCAAAGTCATGGTGTAAAACACCTATGGAATATTTCAATATGATGAAATTAAAATGTTGTCTTAATGGCTTCGGTGTGTAAAAGGTGCATAGGAAGCCTGAAATAGGATACTTTATGAACCCCAGTGTCATAACAATTTTCATATTTTGTGTCCAAGTTGCATCCCCTGTACTAAGGACTGTGTCATGGTTTATGTCCTAATTCTGTAAGCGTGTATTTTAATTTGTTCACCGTTTACCACCTGTGAGGCCAGGCAACAGGTAAAGGTCTTTGCTGATAGTTCCTGTTCACTCAAGGTACTACACAGGTTGAAAGTCAGATGTATTCTTTCTTTCCCTGGCAAATTTAGTTCAAGTCTACAAAAATATGTATCTTAAGTCTATTTTCATGTATATTGAAGCAGCTCCATTGTGGAGGTATTCTTGATTGTTGTCAGTGTGCTAAATCAGCAGTAGATGTATGATTTTCGATGTGTGATTTCTTTTTTGGTCATACCTTTAAGAAAGTAATGTTGTTGATATAATTTAATTATGCCTTTTTCCTCTCTACTCAGTCACTAATTATACCGGATTTTTGAACAAGAAGATCATATTGTAGCTCTATTCTGTTTTATGTGTTGCAGCCCAACTACGAGATATTGCCTATGGTACAAAACCACATAAATCCAGACCAGAAATATTACCAGGTGATCCAGTGGATGAATTCGATGAAACTTTACATTTAAAAAGAGGAGAGAACCTTTTTGAAATTCATATTGGCAAACTGATCTTCTCTTCTGGTGCTATGCACGCTTTCGGTGACCATGAACCTGCAACTTTTTGTACTTATGCGTTCTATGACTTCGAACTTCAGATAACCCCAGTAGTTTATGGGCGTACCCCTTCATACGACTTCACTTCTCAGTATCTTGTGCAGGCTGATGACTGCTTCTTGCACTACATACAGCAAAACAGTATCAATCTTGAGGTTCATCATGCATATGGCACAGATTATGAAACAGTTGCTTCGTGTCAACTGAAGTTCCATGAAATCCTGGAAAACAATGGGAAGATCTACAGCACAGCAAATTTAGTTGGTAATTAACACATCAAAAAGTATTCTATTTGATGCGGTATTTTAAGTCACAAGTAATGTGTAGTTGGCCAAAAATAAATTCATGCATTACTACTACAAAAGAAAAAAAAAAAGCTTTAGACAACGTGGTATTTCCTCTTGGATGTGCAGTGTGTTCTGATGATTCTACTGACAGTTGTGGGAAAGCTCTGACAGGTGCAATGGTGGCCATAATGGCTGAGGACAAAGATGGTGTTAGTATAGTGATCCTGAAGTACGTGACAACATTAGAAGTACGTGACGTGCTGAAAATGGCATTAGAAAATCTTGTCTGAAAATAGCAAGTGATTCTTTCTCTTGTATACAAGGTTACTTGCAAAGTGTTACTACTGCTCATGTAAAGAATTTTAATAAAGGATAGCATCACCTAACTCAACAGAATTAACCAACATGGAGAATGTAGTTAGTAGAGCATGATTGCATTGTAGTACTAGTCATATGGTAGAATTTCTCAATGAATACTCTAGAAAAGATATTTTAAAATAAGACTGATATTATTTTTCTTTTTTTTTTATTATATACTGTTAGTTGTGTTTTAGTTGTTTAATGCAAGTTTTTCACCTCTGAGACTGTTACTGATACAAGGGGGCCCTCCTTCAACTGTGAAGCATACAGTAATTTCAGTGGTCTTGTAATATATTTAAATGAAATTAAATTATTCTACTTTTGCATATGCAATTTCTCTGTTTGGCACAATATACGTTAAAAACAAAAACATTTCAGCATTAGAAGACTGTCAAACGTCACTGCTTTATATCTGGCCCAGGTGTCATAAATATATCCCCTCATTCCTTACCGACAAATAAAGGAAGGAAATGGTTGCAGTGGTTGTAATTTAAACTGGTAAGTCAGAGGTCTTCATATAATTGTCATAAGGCATCAAAAAGGTGCGAATGATGGTGATTACAGTTAACAATATTGCAGAGAACAGCATAATCTATGGGGGAGTTGGTTTAGCTTTTGTGCATTTTTTTTCCTTTTCATTTAACTTTTTGTTTTAAAACGATCTTAAGATAGACTGGACAAGCCTTTTTTAAGAAGTACTTTTTCTTTTAGAAGTATTTTGACAGATCAGTATGTTCAGAGACCTCAAACTGCCCGCTTTTGTCAAAAATGTGGTTTAATAAGCCATTATAAAGTGCCATTTTTGCCAGTGACTTAAATTCCATACCACTTTATGGGACATTTCCAACTGTTGACATACAAAATTGTCCTAAGATTTATTTGCCTTAAAGAGATTAAAATAATGACCTTAACTTGGCTATATAGCTTGGACAGTAAATATTGCAGATTGCAATATGAAAAAATGGTCGTGTTTTGGTTTTGGGTCATACATGTAGAGCCAGAGGAGGAGTTATTTCTGTTTCCAATAGAACTGCACATGTCATGTCACAAACATTGTCATAATGCCTACTCACAAGATAACGAGTCTTTAATTTGTGACATTTCCAGGCTTTTGACTTCAGTACTTTAATGTTGAAAAGAAAATTAATGCAATCCCATATGTACTTATTCCTTAGGAATCAAAGAAAACATTCAAAATTATGGTACCATAGAATACTGGATCGGGTTACGAGTTCCCATGGATCAAGCTATTAATCTCTACAAAGAGAGGTCAAAGGCTCTGGGGTATATAACATCCAACTTCAGGGGGCGTGAACAACCATCCCAGGTATGTTTGGGTTTGTACTTCATGGTTTTGATAGAATAACCTGTTCAAAATTAACTTTTTCAGTTCAAATAGTTTACTTCAAGTCTTGTATGTTCAAGGTTAACAAAGTTAAATGTTCTTGAACTGGAAACTATCTTTAGCAGTTGAATGACACGGGTTTTGTATAAAAAGATAAAGAACCAGTTGAATTATAGCTTTCCTGAAGACGCAAAGTCTGAAATTGTCACTAGAATATTTGGAATTATTATATTTAATTTTCTTAACCTGTAAATGCCAGATTTTGTTAACATTTTGTTCCAGTATAGTATTCGTGAATTTTAAACCAACCGGGTGTCAGATCACTATAACAGGTGAAGCAGTTCTGAAAGGTCTCAAAGATCTTAATGTTTGAGTATTATGAAGTTGAAATGATTTCAAGTTTGTTGGTTTTTTTCCTTTTTTTAAACTGGATAATGAAGATAATTTTGATAATATAATGCACTGTATGATCATGTTTAAATAAGGGTAACAGAACAAGGAGCTTTCAGACATCTTGAACAATTTTTTGAGAACTAAAAACAATCAGGTTGAAATGTATAAATTAAAGCACTTAAGAGTTTCTAATGGGCATTTTTTTAGCTATAGGTGTTTGAATTACTGTAAGTTTGGATTAACTTTAATGTTTTATATTATTCCTTAATGTAAATTTATATTATACTAGAATCTCAATGGATTCCATGATGTAATCTGAGAAGTATGTTCAGTGTATGAATTCTATTGAAGGTCAGCGTAGGCATTTTTCAGAATAACTTTGTTTTTGATAACATTGTAACATTTGTTTTAAATCTGATTTTTAAAAGAATCAAAGGTATTTTCAACTGACTCACAAACTCTGGCAGTTGCTACATCCCAAAATCTGTTATTTAGTTTTCTCCATTTCTGATTATGTTATTTCTAGCTGTGTTACCAATACAAGCACAGTTGAAAGGTAAGGCCTGTGGGACAGAGCATTTTGTTGTAATTATTGTAAAATTGCAAATTGAAACATGGCAACTGAAATACGCTGATTATACAGGAGGAAATAAAATAGGAAAAATGGCAGAAATGAAGAACAGCTTCTACAGAGCTATTTGAAACACTGCAGTTTCCTGAAATGTTTCATGGCAGAATCTAGAAGTCGTATAGCTACAGCAGATGGTTACATTTTGTTAAGGGTTCTGTCAATCTGCAGCTGCAAAAGTAGCTTCAGTTGTGCATTCCAAAACTCAAGCTTTCACTAGTTAAACATACATATAAAATTTTCTGTCCTGTGTAGCAGGCACAAATCATGGCAACATGAACTGCACATAAACTGCTATAATTTTCTTTTCCCTGTTCTGTATGTAGCCAGAAATAGTAGTCTTGAGGTTGCATATTAAGGACTTAAGCTGTCATGTTTGGTTTTCTCAGTAACTATTTCAGTGTGGATTATTTAATCCAAATATTTAACATTTTATCACCAAAATCAAATTGATACATGTTCCCCCATATGCCAGAAGACAGAACTCTGGCTTCCACAAGCAAGATAATTATGTACAATTAATGAAAAGAGCTGTGACATATTACAGTAAAAAAGGAGAGCCTTTTAAGGTCAATATAGATGGGGATTACTCATTAAGATAGTTGTGTTGGTTTTTTTCTTCTTTTTAATTTTTATTAAAATTAATTTCCCAGTTTGCCAGCTATACATTCCACAGTATGTACAAGCCACGATAGGTAATTCCAAAAATTGTGATATCATTGAAGTTTTTAAATTTACTTTAAACATTTATTATTACTCTTCACGTTCTGATTTCTAATTTTTGTAAATTGTTTATGTAGGTAAAGGTTTTGGAGGAGGAAAAAGCTAGAGGTATCTGCGGTGCAGCTTTAGTTATAGAGAAGTACATAGATAGAAGGGACTACAGTTTAAAAAAATGTCTTGGTACAGAATAGCTGTCAAGATCAGAATCCGTAACTTTAAAGTGGCACTATATATGAGTCACTCTTAAAACTGTGATCTTCACTGCTTCGTAGATAATCAAATGACAAGTAGATCATAAAACTTTAGAAGAATAAAGCAAACAATCACAGACCTGAAAGGATTAACCTCTTATTTCCTTATATCAACAACCCAAGAGAGATGTCATTGAATTTATAGAACAAGTAATATTTTGACATATAAAATTAAACAGTAGTTGGACTGTCGTTGAAATACTCGGTGATTTGTTCTATTTATATAGTTCTTAGAGTTCGCCAACATAAGAATTCTAATGGTTTTAATTTAACTTCTTTTTCATTTAAAGCAGCAGATTCTCAGAACTGCCCAAGTCAGCACTTCAACAGATGGCAATCTAAATGAGCTCCACATTACAATAAAATGTTGTAACAATCTACAATCCCGAAAAAAACATCTTCAGCCAAATCCTTATGTTGTCTACAAGTTCTTTGATTTTGCAGACCATGATACTCCCATCATCCCTAGCAGCAGCAACCCACAAATAGATGACCATATGTGTTTCCAAGTGCCAATGAATGCAGATTTAGACCGATACCTAAAGTCAGAATCCTTAACCTTTTATGTATTTGATGATGGTGAAACGGAAGAAGGTGCTTATGTGGGGAAAGCCAATGTGCCTCTTATTTCTTTAGCACATGACAGATCTATCTCAGGTAAGAATTAGACCTCTTTAAAATTAAAATCTTCCCTTCCTGTTTTGTATATCTTTAAATCTCTGTAAGAACCAAACTAAAGAAAGGCTCTTCAGAGGGGTCTGGACAGGCTGGATCAATGGGCCGAGGCCAATGGTATGAGGTTCAACAAGGCCAAGTGACAGCTCCTGCACTTGGGTCACAACAACCCCATGCAACATTACAGGCCTGAGGAAGAGAAAAGCCTACCAAATTTACCAGTTGTATTTCTCACACTACTATATTATGAGTATCTTTGGTTATTAGGTAGAAATACCCTGGTAGTCTTAATATCAGGTGGGAAGGGGTGGCTGAAAGTTGACTTTCAAAACTTACTGCTTTCATAACTGACAAGATATCTGTAAACAAAAATAGTAGTTGTCTTGAAATAACTCTTGAAAAAAACATCAAGTGTTTCTCTCTGGTTCCAAAGTAACCTGGAAATATTTTTTATCTTCTTTTACTGGTCCTTTTTTATGTTCTAATGATAAAAAATGTTTCCTGGCGTATACATATTTTCTTCCACCTCCTTTTCTTCTGGTGTTGCTACTTCCACTTAATTTCAGGGCGGGTATGGCTAATTTATAACATGAGTTCTTTCTCTGCACGGCTTCATTTTTTTCTAATTAGTTTCCTTTTCTAGTTTTGGTTAATGTACATGTAAAATTAGAAAATTGACATGAGAAATCAGCCTCTTTGGGGAAAAAACAGATCAAGAGCTACACTTGGAATCTTAGAATCATCGTTGACTGGAACTCCTGATATGATCTAGTACAATGTCCTGAGCCGGTTCAAGCAAATTGCTCAGGACTTTGCCAAATTAAATTTTGAATATCTAAAAGGACAGAGATCTAGTACCTGCCTGGTCAACACATCCCGATGTTTGATCACCCTCATAATAAGAATGTTTTCTTTACAGAGCTGGGATTTCCCATGTTTCAGCTTGTGTCTGTTGCCTGTACTCCTTCCGCTGTGCACCTCTGGTTCTGTCTTTTCCACACTCTCCTGCTAGGTGTCAGTAAGACCCCTCTGAGCCTCCTCTTCTGAAGGTTAAACAGATCTTCTTTTGGCCTCTTCTGTGCCCTGAAGCTCTTGGAGAAAGCATGCAACTTCCCTGGAGCTGCTTGACTGCGTTCTTGGTAATACAGGCCAGGGTGCAGCTGGCATTCTTTGCTGCAAAGGCCCAGCTTGGCTGGCTTGTATTATTTTTATCAAACAGGGCCAGCTCTTTTTCTGCAAGGCTGCTTGTGGCCAGTCACCTCCCGGCCTGTACTGCTACTTGGGGCTATTCCTGGGCCAATGCAGGATTTTGCATTTGCCTTTCTTGGACTTCATGAGGTTTCCATCAGCCCATTTTGCTATTGTGGGAATAGCAGCCCTGCCTTCAGTCCATCAACTGCTCACTGCAAGTTGATATCAGTTACAAATTTCCTGTGGTGTTTATAATATAAAAGCTGCTTAACGATTATTTTGTTGTCAACTATAAGACATTCATGAAAATTTAAAAATACGATTCTGTAATTATTCCATATAAATGGATAGCATGAGAAAAATTGCAAGTGAATTTAGGGTGTTTCTTCTTTGATAAAGATTTAGCTCACAGATTTTTAAACCCTTTTTATTTAAAAAAAAAAAAAGTAAGTATGAGTAAAACATGGAAGTGTTTTAGTTGGATCTTTTGAAAGATGTCGATAAGAATTAGTTATCTGGTGTTGGATTATTTGAGAAACCCACAAGACATCTTGAACAAACACAGTAATTCTGTCCCTTCTAAGTCCTGTATTTTTGAATGTCCACTGTGTTATATTGGATATATTTGGATCTACAAAACACAATATTTTGACACTATTTTTTCTTCTAAAATGAGGACTATTAAGTTATGTAATTCCTTAATCCCATTCAGTTTTGCATTGCATTTTCTTGTATATGTATAGAATGAGATGATTTAGACAAGATCTGCATTTTACTTTCAGGTACTTTTGAACTAACAGATCCTGAAAGATGTGCTACTGGTGCCATCACAGTCGAATTAAAATGGAAGTTTGTCTACCTACCACCAAGTGGATCAACAATGGCTACAGACTTAGTGAATTACATTCAAAATGAGAAATCAATGGCAACTAAATTACTAGCAGAGGAAAAAATGCAGACTCCAGCCCCGTCTCCTTCTTTTATTTCATCAGTGGCAGTAAGTAATTTACCAAACTCATAAAAGTTAAGAAATATAAAAGACCTATTACAGCAGGTCATTTAGTTCTTCCCTGATGACCAAGATTTGTTCTTACTGTAAAATAATGCGTAGTACAAATACTTCATATAACCACCATCTTCGACTTCCTTTGGAAAGTGAAATCTTTCTTGTGTCCAAAACTTTTAAAAGTCTTTTATAATGGTAGATAACTGATTAGTAAAAGGGTGATGAGAAAGAGTAGAGAAATAACTAACACCCAGTGTCTTCCCTATAAATTTAATGCTTATTAATTCTCTTTCCAATGTAGACATCTTACATAAAATGTAGTCATATGCTTGTGCAATTTCAGAACTATGGTTGAAATTTATGAAATCAGCTATTATTTCTGTGGCCTCTGAGAAACTCAGACAGAACTCAGTCAGCTGGGGTAGCTTTGAGTCAAAAGAATCCTCAAGCAGCAAGACCCAAGCCATAGGTACAGACACACAGGTGTATCTGCACCACACTCTCTGTTACTCTGGTGCCTGGAGCATGGTGCTAAGATACCCGATAGCTTCTTAAAAATCACTCATAAATTAAATGTAGCGTAAGGAATTTTTTTGGTGTGTATAAAAATCACTGGAAATAGAGGATAATTTCTACCTTCATCGAGAGTAAAACATAAAGAGCAATAAACCACTTTTTCTTTATTCTTTTTTGCCTTTTGTCTTATCATGACAGAAATATTTCTAGATCGTTTTGCTAATTTTGCAACTGTTACCAGTCTCTTTTCTGTTTCTGCATTAAAATTCTCCAAAGGGAGTGGGATGAGGAAAGGTGTCAAAGATATGGTAAGCTACAGAACAAGAAAAGGAATCAAGCACTCCATAAACAATAATAACAAATCATTCTGCCACGTATATGATACCACTGACTTCAGTCCTACAGTTATTTCTCACCTGGAACTCGCATTGCGAGTCTGACTGCTCATAGATGTTCTGTAGAGTTTTATAGCCATGGCTGAATTCTGAAACGTATCTTCATTTGGGGGGGACTTACTCAAAGAACGTATACATCATCTTGCCTGTTTAGAATTCAATTTAGTGCAGCTAGATTTGGCTTTGAGGAAAAATTAGGATCCCTCAAAATTTACTGTAAAATAAGATGGTTAGAATATGGCAATAAATGGTCTTCAACTGTGTTTTATTACAGAAACCAACACCCAAACCAAGGCAGCGCGCAGCTCAAGCAGACAAGAAAGTATCTTTTCCGGACCTTAGTACAATACAGATGGCAGTAAGTTTTACATATTTTGCTCGTGCATGTTGAAGCAAGAAAGACTACCTATGTCTCAGTATGGACTATTTGTAGAATTAATAATCGAGAACGCTCATTCTTTTAGCAACACAGGACTGGAATGTCCCAGGCAGTGTACGATAGCATAGTGCTGCACATAGTTGAGGGATACAACACAGGGATATACAGCGATATCTGTGTGACTCCCTCAGAATTGCTTGCTATCCCCCACAGTTTACAAGCTTCGACTTTCATAGTCTTAGGGCATATTCTAACAGGACCAATCAACTGTCTGCACTGTGTTTCTCAGCTCTCTGGGTTGTTAATTAAAGTGTCATTGTACAGTGTACCACTTGCACAGACACATTAATGGCTCTACAAAAACCAGCTTGATCCAAACAGATCCTGTGTGTTGCGCTAATGAGGTACACAATTGACACAGTTCAGAGTCACTTAAAACCAATTACCCTTGTGAACTTGGAAAGCACTATCATGTGTACATCCTTCCAGACTCTAGGAGAGTCTGCATGGAGGTAACTCAAACATGTCTGCTGCATGGTGTAAATTTTCAGTAAATAATCAGTTTTCAAGTCACAGGTCCTTCTGCTATTGTTTCGTTTACCGTGACTAGAACTTTGTTTTGAGCCATAGAGCATAGACTGGGAATAAGAAATAATCTTCTATTTATTAACTTTTTTTTAAAAAAAAAAAGTCAAACGTCGGTGAAATCAAATCTTTTGAGAGCTTAGATATGGAAAACTGAAATGTTAGCCATGTAGTTACACACACAACATATCTTCATCTGTCCAAACAGTAACATTAAGAAGTTCAACAATTTTTCACAAACTAGGATTGTCTAAGGGAGACAGCTACTCAGTGTCCATAAGAAGTCTTCATTACCGGGTGGGCAGCTCCCCTAGCTGTTTTAAAAATCCAAGCCTCACTGTCTGGTTAGAGACAAAAGTACTGTTAGAACTAAATCATGAAATAGCTGGGGCTTCTCTGATGTCTAAGCTTTGTGGTGAAATGGCAAGAGAGTGTCCATGCAAGAGAATTAGATGCTCAGCAGATTGAAATTGAACAGGAACAGTCTGTTTCATTTTCCTGTTCATTTGCTGAATAGCAGAGAAACTAGTTCTTGGACATTAACGTGACACATGCCAAAGCAAATAGTTGTTTTGGGAAAAGGAGACTCACTAAAAGGTGGGATGAATGGTTTGACAAACTCAAACCATTTGTAAGAATTGTCCAGCCTCATAGGTAGAAGCTGTAGTAGAGGATAGAAGCAGTAATGCAAATTCAGGGAAGCAAAGGAGGATATAATTTCCTGTCCGAATGCTTCTCCACCGGTAAATTTATACCTACTTTTGTGTGTTAATTGTCTACTGTATATTAAAGGCTTCCCCTTATTTTACCCATAACTTAGGGCTCTGTTGTTGAAAATAGCGTGGAACTTGCACAGAAGATGAAGGCTTCAAGAGTTCCAAGTGTTTCAGAGGTATGAGGTTATTCAGGTTTTGTGGTTTTATATAATATATTGCATTTGAATTCCACGTGTATGTTATTTCTTCAGTGATGCGTCAAAAGTCAAACTGCAGTAAAGTGAGATCTCAAAAACTTCACAGAAATATGAAAAAAGTTATATATTCCTTGCGATGACAACCTTCTCTTTTTTTAGTCATTAGAAAGGGAGGAGTATCTCTACTTACTTCCTTTTATGTTTGGATGAAGTTTATTTTCTCTTCCATCTAAAAATTACAATCATATAGCAGGAGGAAATGAAGAAGAAAGGGAGTAACTTTGGAATATTGCTAAGTATGTAGCATTCCAAGGATAAAAGTATTAAATATCGTAATTTGTGATGGTCCAATTGGGTGTGATAGTAAGTTGTGGCAGACTGGCAAACTGTAGTTTCTAGTGCTGTAACACAATATTTAATCACAGGCTCTTATCTTCCTTTCACTTTTCTACTTCAAAGCTCATCTGGGGCTTTGATTGAGAAGTTGTCTCCCACCACATCAGGTGGTATTGGTCAAGTAGAATAATCAAAAGTATTGTGTCTCTGAAAAGTTTATTCACCAAATGCAACTCTGTCACTGAAGGAGTTAGAAAGAATGGCCAAACATTGTCTAAAACACACTGGTTGTGACACATCATCTATGCCGAGGAGGAGAAGAGACATAGTCAGTTTTCTACAACTTGAAAACTTCAAGGATAACCTTTATTTATAGAATAAGGCTCTTCAGTGTTTGTTAGCATTTCTTTGCTTTGTGTGGTTCCAAAAGTGTTAGAATAGAAACAACTCTTCAGGTCCGCTTTTTGGAAAACCCGGATGTTCTATGGACAGCTGAAAGTTATCTCGGGGATTCTGAGGGTGGGAGGCGAGGTGTCAGTGTCTCTCTGGAAAATTCAGTCCCAGAGAACTGTTGGATAATAAATAATGCATAGGTTTCCAGCAAATTTCCATGGAAGATGCCATGTCTGTAATGTTACATCCATTGATGAGGTATTATTCGATGTAATTGTACTCAAAAAGAAAGAAGGGAATAAGATTACTACAGAGTAGATTATGCACTAAAGATATTTTACCTTAGATAACATGTTTGTGTTTTGTAGCAAAGCTGATTCTTTTTTATGATTTTAGTTTGCTTTTCAAACAGTAAATATTGCATTATTAAAGTTTTGAAGTTGCCAGCTGAGTAAGCTGGTGGTGATGTTTGGTTTGTTTTGGATTTTTTTTTTTATTTTAAACTGAGTCTTGTAGAACTGAAAGAGCTGAAATATAAATGAATCTGGAAATCTAACAGGCTGTATATATGTTGACAGGTACCAAATGATTATAATAGTTATATTTTCAAATATGTACATCGTTAGAGAATTGTCTTTTTACTGTATCAATTATTTGTTACTGCAGTTGACAACTTCTCATTGTTTCCTGCACTGCATAAGCAATATAATTGTTTAAAGGCTATGTATAATGAATGAGCCATAACTCTTCAAGTTTTGAACTTTAGTAACTTTTACTATTCAAGGAGCATTATAAAGATTGTAAGTTTATCTATTTTTATATAGCATGTGGTACATGAGGTTAAACGAGAAAGGCTAGCAGATGATACGGTGGAGGAGATGGCTGAAGAAATTCAACAGGAAAAAGACCTCTCCCATCTGTCAGAGGGGCAGTTGGCTGACCAAAGCTCAGTTACCTCTGGAGACGGGACAGAAATAAGTGAAGAATTGGAACCAGAAGGTAGAATTCATTTTTATGAATAAGTAACTGTATTTTCGTAATAAATCTATGTCTCTTCCCATTTTCTGAAGCATTTCGTACTAGCAGTGGGAGCTGCCTCATTATGAGAAGCTTCATGACAGAAATGATATTCTGGTGTATTTTATAGCTGAAGCTGGGTGTGGATATGGTGGTGTTATTTTCTTCCCAAATGGAAACTGTATTGTAATTGAATGCAAAAATCTGGTATCTGACCTAGATTCATAAAATATTAAAGGAAACCTGGCTTCTATTTTAAATGTCTTTATATTCTCCCTTAGAACTATGCTGTTCTAAAGACTATTTTAATGAATATGCTCCTTTTGTCTGCAGATAACAGCCAATGCTGATATCGGAAATCCTTTCAGACAGTGAAAGGGGTAGTCTGTCTTATCCCATCTGTGACATAAAGTTGTTAGAGGCAGATCTATTTAAAGATTATAAAAGCCGGGTCATCCTGTTCCACCTCCAAGCTTAAACTGTTTATCGTTGAAATAAACCAAGTCCACAATACCAAGTTTAAAGTAAAAGCACAAGCAGGATGCTAAAATTTTATGTTCAGTTGTTTGCAGCTTCTGTATAAGAATTCATTAGAAAAACTGGAAAAACATGATGTTGAATCTCTGTGGTGTTTATAAGTAATTTCTCCAGAGAAGAACAGACCTGAATGCTTTAGAAAATAATCCACCTGCATACAGAATTACTTTTTTTTTAAAAAAAAAGTACATTCTTCTTTACATGTGCAAGATTTTAAACGTAGTCAGAGGAAATCCGCAAATGCAGGCCATATTTTTATATAAAGCTAACTGTTGTTCAGACTTCAGTTCATCTCAGAACTCATATCATTCCACTCATCAGCTTTCATCTGGGAAATATTGCTTTTTTTTTTTTTTCTTTTTAGCAAAGCAGAAAAAATACAGTTTAGACAACTTTAAAGGTAATTGATATGCCAGTGTTAATCTTCTGCAAGGAAGAGGAGATTTACCTGGCACTTATACTTTATTTGTTAGAAAAGCACACATATTGCTATCAGGTTTCTCAGCAAGTCTCAGATGGACTACAAATACAGGGGGTTTTAACTACATTGATTTCTTTTTTTCTTAATTTTTTTTTTTTTTTTTTCAGATCAAGATGATAGACAAGAAAATGATGCCATTGAATCAATAATAACTGACAGCGATGACTGTATTGTTTCAAGTCCGGTATCAAAGAATATTAGACAGGTGAGTAAGAGTATTGATGGCAATTATTTGGTAAGTCTAAGAAAAATATTTCAAACCTAATGTCCTCTGAGTAGCTTTGCTATATCTACGGTCAGATTCTAAGGCGTTTTCAACGAATGTATGGTTTCCTGTTTCCAGCTCTTTTTTTCACAGAAAAAAAAGAAAAGTTAACCTGACTGTATTGTGCATGTGATTTATAGGCCTTTTTTTAATGGGGAAATTTGTTGTCATCTTTTCCAGTATTGTCATACACACTTAGAAGTAGACATTTCTAATTAGTTTCAATCTGAATTCAAATTTTAGTCCTGCACAAAATGTCCCTAACGAAAGATAATTATTGTAATGTGAATGTTTACAGAACTTAGTCTTGTTTTTCAGCCCTACCTGTTGCCTTTATGTGAGAAAATGTGCTTTTCTGCCTCTCCCAGTGCTTTCTGAGGAAGAGGAGGATAACTTCTCTTGTCAAGGCCTGTAGTAAATTTACAATGCTTAGCTACCCACTGTGTTTCTTCCTAGTATGTTGACTTGATTGAATGTTGTTGAAATGTCAATTCCATAAGCTTGAGGTTGTTAATGTCGTGCAAACCTTGCATATATTTTCTAGTTCATCCACATAGATTTCTTTTTGTTTCTGACTTCCAAACAGTTTTGGAACTGAACATCCATTTTCAATAAAGTTTGCACGTGTGCAATATCTAATCACTTCAGTGTACTACTTTTTCCATTATTAGTAGTGGGCATATACAGTAATGATATTCTCTTGACTTGTTCTTCAAACCAGCAATCAATGAGCATAAAGTCATATATACAGAATAACAGAGCGTAATACAAATTTGGAAAATTAAATTTGAACTGTATTTAAATAGTATAGTTCTCTAAAGAAATAGGAATATTTCATACTTTTAGATCTAACATTGACTGAACAATCTTAAGAAATATAACTAGCACTTAAAATTGATTATAATACTTCTAACAGTTAATACTTCTCTGGTCTGTCTTAGCCTTCTTTTAAATGACCGGGGCGTACTGTTATAGCCTATCAGTCTTAACTTTTTTTAATGTTCTGCAGTGTGATAGCCTAGAGGTAGTTTGATGATTTTTATTTTTTTTAATCCTTTTTTCAAGGCTGTGTGACATCTTACAAAGTAACTAATAACAAGAAGCAATGCCTCGTATGAGAAATATTGCGCTTTTTTTTTTTTAAATGAAGTTGTAGAGGGATTTAGAAATGCTATCAATTATATGTGCTGCGGAAAGATACAGAAGGTACTTTTGAAGACAGAATTGCGTTGTTTATACGAAAAAATGTTAAAAAAAAATTCACCTGTAATTTTGAGAACTAAAATGACCGCTGCTCATCACTATTAAGTTAAACTGTAATACGGTTGACACATATTTCTAGTCATCCTGTATTTTATTTTATCAAAATTACTTAAGCAAACTTCTGAGAAGATTTTGAGTGTGGATTCATTTCAGGTTCATTAATTTCTACCTCTCTCCATTGATTTGTTCCTCTGGTAACAAAGTGCATGTTCAAGAAGGCTAGATAAGACAACAAAAGCTATAAACTATTAAGGCAACATGTTTGATACAAATTGGATTTTAAAAATAGGCATTGGTATATTTGAAATCTTGGGTTAATTATAGAATACAGCATGTGAAAATTGAGACTGAATTTGTATTTTTTTAAGATTAAAAATCACTGCCTTTTATCTTTCGAGATAAATATCCTGCTGGTAATCAAACACTGTAAATAAGTCTTGTGATTTTTGGAGATCGTTATGCTAATTATCCTGTAAATCTGAGTTGTATGCCAAACTGTTTAAGCCATTTAAGATCATACTGTTTCTTCTTTGCATGTTGCAAATTAGACAGTTCATGGTTATTTCTTAGATATGTTGATCATAAAGGGTATCTAACAGATTTTCCAGTACTTAACTGTACCACTTGCTTCTTTCTCTTTTCTTCTTGTCTATGATGTATAATTAATCACAGATTACTTCATTTTGTTTCATTTCATTTACAACATTTATGAGCTTCACTTTGTCGGTATGAAATGCTTGTCCCCTTCTTTCCTTTCCAAAGTGGCGTAATTAGTGTTAGCATCTTTTTTAACAGGCTACATAAAGTTTAGTGGCTGGATTAAATCAAGTCATTAACATAATGTGCTATACAATTTGCCCCTATCTCTTTTCGTTTCCAGTACATCAAAGTGCCACAGAGTGCCAGTGTAATTGGGCCTTGCTAGCTTGTCAGGTTCAGTCAGGCTGACGGCTGCTGCTTTTACTAAAAAGCTTCCAGGCATGATAATTAATAGAGAAAAGAAGTCTGAGAAATGTAAAAGTTTGGACAGTTCTCTATGAATATTTCATACATTGGAATAATCAGAAGTTAACATTATCAATTTGATGTATAATACATTGATTAAAAGCCTTGTTTCATATCCTCAAAATAGACATCAAAACTGGAAATTTGCATTTTCTTTGGTATGGTCTTTATATTTAAAAAAAATATATATTTAAACCCACTCTTTTCTCTTCCATCCCCTCCTCCCTTTCACCCCCATGTCTACACTTCATCCTTACAGGAGATAATATAACATTCAGTTATCACAATAAAATTTGTCTTAAAATGCCCGTAAGGCAACTACTGACAAAAACAATTTATTTGGTGGTGGTCCCATTTTTTCTATAGGTGTGTTGACGTCTCTCTTTTTTGTTGCAAATACCGGGAGTGCATTACCTTGCGCTAATAGCAGTTTACTGAAAATTGGCTTTATCAGTTCCTGTAAATTAAGATCTTGGGCTCTAATTAATTTTGACATTAATATCTCTCCTTAAACACCATTAAAAAGCAATACCAATTGCTTGGGCTTCTGCTGGCCAACGAAACGTGTGTGCAAAGGTGGGAAGATGTAAAGCATAAAGCTTGTGTAGCAAAGCAATAAATACTTTTTCCTTGGTTACGCCTTTTTTGTACAATTACTTGAATAGTGCATTTCCTCCTATGAGATATCTGCATTAGTTGAAAAAAAAGAAAATTATTTGGACATTGTATTGCTCTTTTAAATTTTGGCTGTCTGGACTTCTCCTTATAGTTATTTTCTGCAGGACTTTAGTACTTTTGGTGTACTTCAGGGAGATTTTAGAGTGCTCAGTGTTTTTTCTTAAACTGGCTTGTGCTGTGAGTAGCTAATCTGAATTTAGAGAACTAAAATGTTAGGTTTTTACTATTAACCTGTGTTGCTGAGTTGCCTTGATTCTACTGTGCCAGAAATACTAATCCTTTGTATTCTCTTAATCTTGTGTAGATCTAACCTTAGTTGCTTTGTACTTTTTTTTCTATAAGAAACTGGGGAAGTAAAAGTGCTGCACCAGCATATTTAATAAAACAAGAAATAAAATTCATGAAACAGAACTGTCTTTTCAGAGTAAGATAGAAGTGACTTATTAAAGCTTTATAGTCAGCATTTTCAAAGACTACTGATCGGTCTAAGATTAAGAAAGAACATTTGCCATTCTGCACTTCTAAGGTGATTGTTTGCTGTTATGGTCACTATTAGACAGGAAATAAAGTGAAAGAGAGAAAGATTGAAGAGTCCAAGAAAAACCTAAGAATCAAGTCATTAGGTAACCTACTACTACTTAGATAACAAATAAAACTAATTAGTCAAAAACATTAAGTAGAAAGTCAGATTTAAGGCTGAGTGCAGAAGCCCACAGGAAAAGCATAGACAGGAACCATTTGTAACCTCGCTGGGAATATTTGTTGTGGTTATGAATATGAATGCTCCTTAGTTGCTTACTTGAGAGACTATATTCATCAGAGCTCCTTGACATAGAAGTAAGTTCTGGTAACTTTACAAGTATAAAGGGGTATTTTCCTAACTGGAAGTCTGAAAGGCAAAGGATGGGATTTGAAACTAAATTTGCGTTTTGATTAGATGCAGAATATATCACCAAGCAGAATTTTTTTCACACTGTGGGTAATAGGAAAGAGAATCAAATAACATTAATTTTTGTGTGTCTGTATTATTAAGTAGTAAAGCTGTAAATAAAAAGAACATCAGTATTAAAAATATGCAATTTGATTTTTTTTCACTACAGATGTCCTCTTAAGTGAAAATGCTATACTGATAATTCTGCTTTCTTCCTGTACTAAGGGGCTTTTTTTCTAAATGAATCACCTTTCAAATACAGATTTTTAAAATTTAATTTATTTTTGAGATCCAACCAGAAGTCTGTGATCTACATATAGAAGAATACATGCACGTATATATATAAAAGCAGAAATCCTATTATATTTGTCTTTGTTTAGTTTTTTATGTAATGCTGCTACTTATCTTGTCTTATTTCTGTTACTTAAATGTTGACGTGTATTAGCCAGCAGAAATTGTACAGAGAGTAAGATGGCTGTTTATCAAGAAATTTTCTGTCTTTCGTGCTTATTTGCCTAAGGATCGTGCTTCCTTTTGAAATGAAACGTAATTGTAAGTTTACAGAGCATTTGAATTACTTAATTGTGTGACTAGTTGGTACTGATTTAGCTAACGGGCTTTGAGGTTTGATAAAGTTGGGTTTCGTTTTTTTTTTTTTATCTGGTGGTATAATAATGGTGAGGGATTAAGCACTAAAAATGGAAGTCTTCTCATTGAGACAGTCTGCAGTAGAGAGGGGTGTAGCTTAGTTCAGGACTGTAACACTATTGCTTTTGTAGCCTTCTGCACTTTTGGGGGAGAAATAAAACTCAGAGTTAAGGAAGTATGCATCTCACCCGTCAAACAGCTCCAGATCTATCTGCTTTATTCTTTCTATTCATGCCTAGAAAAAGTTTGTCTCTAAAAGCTGTTAGTTGAGGCAATGCCACAGGTAAGTTGCAAACCCAAAGCTTAAAAAAGCAATTCAGCTTTAGGAGAAACATGCAACAATTTAATGTTTATTCTTCAGAAAGGCTGGGAGGGGCAAGTTGCTTGAAGGGAAGAAAGTACCTTATTCAGGTGATCCAAAGTTGTATTATGAGCAAAGTGCAAAAGTGACATTAAGTTTGTATGTATAGTTGTCATGGTCGTGGTGAGAAAGCTTCAGATCCCTCAGAAACTTAGTATTTTATAAAATGTTTGGTGTTTTATACTGAATTAGAAATTGTCTTTTCTGAAAAAAGGCAACAAAGGTGATTCAGGGCAACAAAGATGATTAGGGGACTGGAGCACCTTTCTTATGAGGAAAGGCTGAGGGACTTGGGTCTCTTTAGTCTAGAGAAAAGAAGATTGAGGGGGGATCTTATTAATACATACAAATACTTAATGGGAGGATGCCAGGGGGATGGGAGTAGTCTTTTTTCAGTGGCACCCAGTGATAGGACGAGGGGTAATGGGCATAAACTTGAACATAGGAAGTTCCATCTTAACATGAGAAGGAACTTCTTTACTTTGAGGGTAGTGGAGCACTGGAACAGGCTGCCCAGAGAGGTGGTGGAGTCTCCCACTCTGGAGACATTCAAAACCCGCCTGGACGCTGTCCTGTGCAACGTGCTGTAGGTGACCCTGCTCTGGCAGGGGGGTTGGACTAGATGATCTCCAGAGGTCCCTTCCAACCCTAACAATTCTGTGAATTCTGTGAAAATCCACTGCATTGATCTTTTAAAGTAGGTTAAATGCTGTGGACTTCTGCTTAAGTCCAGAGCTGCTTCTTGCTTTTGTATTGGTATGTTGCAGATTAGCATGGGAGAGGCAATAGCTAATCATTGAGTTGTCTCAACTTGTAGCAAGTAATTCATGCCTTTGGATGTATTAAAGATGAATTCATGTTCTGAAAATGATGAATTTGGACTCTGCACTAGATAAAATGGTGGCAGCCAGCGACTTACGTGTTGTCACAAATAGATTTTTTTTGTTTAGTGTGTTCTTAATTGTAGGCAGAGCTGAAGGGATTGCATCAAACTTTACTATGGCAGTATTGTACCGCCGCATTCTCCTCCTGGCGCGTGGCAAAACGCCAGTGATGCTCATGGAAGGTTATATGTGCCTTTCCCTCCTTCACTGTAAATCCAACCCCGAAAGAGCTATTGAAGAAGGAGAGACCCCTTTTCCCCAGGTCTCAGGGAGAGTCTAAAGTGCACGCACTTTTGTAAGTCACATCCGTTTGGAGAAGGAACAGGGAGCCCTTCTGTATCCCTCTTCCTATTCTCGCATCTACACCATTATGGGAAAATCTAAAAATAGATGATGTTCCTAACATGAAAATTCACTGCATACGCTTAAGGACTGGAATATTTTTTTGTAATATGTAATTTTATGTGTATGTGTAAGATGTTGACCTCTCAGTCATAATTACTTAGCAAGTAATGTTTGTGTCTCTGAACAGTTAATTTAGGTTGACATTCCTGTGATAGCATTCCTTTGCAGCTCTGTTCTGACATTGTTATAGCATGATCACAGGAATTTGTCACCGGATAAAGGAAGAGGAATTGTCCTCGTCCTCTATTACTTGATTGACAAATATATTTATTGAAAGCGAAACTGTTCTCATTCAATAAATATATTTGTCAATCAAGTAATATTGATAGTGGTTGAAGTATCGATAGCAAATGGATGATTACTTGTGATTCTTGGGCAATAGCTTGTATTTTAGCTGATATGCTCTCTGCTTGAAATAGAAGGGAACAAATGAATAAGTGGACCATGGAAATAAATACATAAAATAATAAGGAGTAAAGCATAAATATTTTTGAGCATTGGTAAAGATAGGATTCAAGTTGATGTTAGGGTTGAGAAGTTTCCTTTATTTTGAGATTTTTTCAAGGGCGATGTATTAGTTAAAACTGTGGATGAAAAAAGTAGGAACATTGTTTACATTGTTGCTATAAGCAAGGTATCTTCAATGCTGTTCTGTGCAGAAAGCACAAACTCTTTTTTTTTTTTTGTACTTACACTTAATTCTGTGCGATACTATTGCTGCATTTGAGTCAATTGGAATTTTATTAGTCACTTCAAAGTCTTAGCATGTTATTGTGACCAAAAAGGAAATTGAAATATGGCAATCAAGACTTTCTATGGAATTAAAAAAAGCTATTTTAATCTCAGACATTAGAAAGATGAAAAAAGCTATATTGAGGCTTCAAATTCTGGTGTAGTGTCCAATGCATTTAGTACTTAACCTACTCCTAAAGCTTGTTGAAGGAGTTGGGCAATTCTTCCCGATCTCTGGGTAGTAGTAAGAGTCAAATGATAAAGAAAGAGTATTTGCGTAGACTAAGTGTCTTGCCCGTGTTTTCTTTTCCTGACTTAAAATTAAGGCACTGAACCAGTTTCTCAGAAGACGGTCTTTGAAAGTGTTTAGTATCCTTTATATTAATACGTGTGTCCAGTCTCTCTTAAAGGAAATTTCATATTGTATTTTGTTTTAAATACTAAATTTAAAGACTAATTTTATTCCCATCAAAGTCGAATGATTTGTGGGAAGTAGTTGGTCATGAAAAACCAAAGATCAGATTTTCACTTGAATAGTACCTAAGAAGTGAGACCAAGGCTTCAAAATAAACAACTTAGGAAAAGATATAAATAACATACTTCACTCTGCATCATAGAAATAAATAATGGTTCTTTAAAAATTAATAATCATGTATGGGATGCTACATCTATTTTCAGCATGGCTATATGAGCGTTTCTGTATTAGTAGTGAAATATGCCATGCTAGCTATGCTGTTCTTAAGCAGGTCTGTATTTTTTATTTGTAAATATCTTTTTTTATTCAGCTTGCGTCCTCCTTTGTATGTCCGGTATTCGTGTTTAATATTAATAAAACCAGGCCTTAAATATTCTTGACTCTTAAGCTCTAATGTAATTTTTTTTTCTTTTACAATTTTCTAATAGTATAACTCAGGTATTTGCTTCCATGTAAGTTAGAAAGCAGAATACCTGGGTTTACCCTGCTATCCTTGAAAAACCGTAATATTCTTTGCCTACAGTATGCAATTACAAGTGTTAAATATGTCAAACAATTTTTAAGTTATGTAAAAGAAATATTTTATAATGCAGGCTATTGTATTTGGACTTGATTCCTAAACTACTGTCTGTGTACAAACTAGTTTGACATAGCTGCTAAATACTTTGGGGCGAACAAAACCGCTCAGCGTATCACTTTAAATACAGATGCTAATACATCTGTTCAGTGTAAGAAGAAAAGAGTTGTTTCTGAAGTAAAATTAGACAATAGAGCCAATTTCATTTTTTATGCATGTGAATGTAGAGTGCTTGAGGTTATTAGTTGAAACTGAGTAACCTTTCCAGGCTTTCATCTCTTTCTTTTCAAATTTGAATATGAAAAGCATATTCAAGTCAAAGACCATCACTTTAATGACATTTGGCAGTCATTTGATTTATTAGATTTTCGAAAAAAAAATTTCCTTTAAATATTTCATCATTCTATGCTAATCCCAGTAATATTGCCAGCTGAAGCCATGTACCTGTATTAGTGGAGACAGAATGGTGTGGAATTTTCTCTGTCATCCTAGTAAAATTTCCATGAATCTACTGAATAATAAAACAACCTTATTGAAATATTCAGATTTGGGTTTTTAGTTAAAGGGTCTTAGGATACATAATAAAAGGAAACGTCTTTTGAAAGGAGGGGGTAAAATTACTTCATCAAATATTGAAAGGGCTTGACAGCAATGGAAATTGTTCTATATGATGGATATTTTTACAATAGGATACACCTGCTTTTCAGTTTGATTACTTATATAATTTGCTTGGAAAAATACAAGCTATCTGTATAATAAATTAGAATATTGACTTGCAGTTCCAACACTGACTCTAGAAAGTTAGTCTGTTGAATAAGATTTATTACTTCAAGTGATTTAAGTTTACAATCGAAAATTGTCAAAACATTTACCTATAGGGGAGATATTTTTAATAAAGTTGTGAACTTGAAAAGAAAAGAAAGAAGGAAAAAATATTTTTACATTTCTGAACTCCAGCGTGTTCTGTTTGCTCTTTGAAGAATCTCGTCGTTGAATGCTCACCTTTGTACTCCAGTTGTAAACCGTAGTGGCTTTTCTTTCTTTGAATTACAGAGTTACCTAGGGAAATATTTGTGACTCTTTCTGTCAAGTCTGACATTCCCAGTTAAATACATAAAGCTTATTAAAATTTATCTGTACACAAATAATATAGACTTTGCTGAGCAGTATGAAACAATTTCGTATAAGCAACAGAAAAATGTCATTTTCGGTAAAGATAATAAGAAAAGGCCCCGGTGAAGAACAATTGGGATATTACTTTTATTATTATATTGTTAATATTAGCTTTTAAATGTATACTTGATTTAACTAGAAAAGCTTAGTATATGAAGTTGAATGCCATATAAATACAGTGTTACTTTACATGCCTAACTGCTTTGTGACTTGATGGACTTTTTTTGAACAGTTTGTAGTATAGTCTGCAGTGGGCACTGAGTCTAACCATTCTCTTTCATTTGGAAAACTTTGGTACCTAATATTACTGAGACTATTTCTAGCAATTACAGGACCAAGATAAAATATACACTTTGCTGTGTAGCTAAAAATAATGGCAACTGAAATTTGTGATTCAGATATCATTTGTACATGAAGATAACCTTAACCTAATCTTCTCCAGCAGAGTTTGACTATTGCAAAAATGTTTTCAACACTGAATGTAAATCAGTATCTGTTACAACAGTAGTCTTCGCTACAAACCCTGGGGCCTTAGAGTCTCATTGTGTCTATGTTACAATCAATCCATCGGTATTAATCATATACAATATCCAAAGATTTACATGTATGTTTCTTTGTTTTGTGTTAACACTTAAAAACCCACAAAATAATTTGTATTATGTATTTGCTTTGTTTTTAAATAGGCAACTGAAAAAATCCGGATTGAAATTATATCATTCAGTCTTACTGACTCACGGATTGCATCAGATGAAACAATACAGCAGCTGTTTGTAGAATGCAGATTATACAATTTCCTTGCAGAGGAGACCCCACTGTCACTTCCAAAACCAACAAGTGGTCAGAGGATCCACTATAACTACAGCAATGGTAAATATGATGTATTCCCGCGCAGGCTTGTTTCTCCTCTTAAATTCTGTCTCATGAAAATGCCTGCCAATAAAGCCTACTTTCTCTCTGTATCATAGTTGCATTTATCTGTGTACCAGTTGTATTTGTGTATTTCCCAAATATTTTGGGAAACATTAAAGGTGATTTTTAAGAAATGAGGCAAGGATGCAATTATCAAGTATAAAATGAATTGTTGAAGTAGGCTTCTATATGAAATGGTAACAATGCAATACATTTAAATAGGCTGCTAGCACATAAATTTTAAAATTAGGCTATACGTAACTAAAATTGATGTATTCTTTTTAGAAGAACTTGATGAACTGATTTCTCTATTGGTACATGATGATACAGCAAATGAAAAACATTCCATGTAACCATGTACAACTAAAAAACAGTGGAAAAGTGGAAATATGTAATTGGACTTGATCATCACTTGGGAATACTCAGTGTTCCTTTAATAAGAACTTTTTGAAATAGGAAATTATTCAGCCATGTTTAATACTAATACATTGCTGTTTACTTCAGAATACTTAATCCTGCATGTTCCATATGCTGTTCTCTAATAAATTAACATTTGAAAATACTTTGTGAATACACAATGTAATTTACACTAACAGCATACACAGAATTCTTATAATAATTGATAATTCACTTGTTAATTAATTTCCCAGCTATTTCATAGTATTTAACTTATTCATTAACTTTTTTTTTTTCTGTTAAAGTCTATTTTATTTAAGATTCAGTCCAAGCACTTCACGTTGGCTTGGACTTGAAGTATTGCATTTTTAGCTGAGCGTAGCCTGAAGCAGGTGAATCAGTTGCTATTTGTGACACACCACTAACACAGACATTCAGATGTGGTGTCACAGTCAGATCTTTAAAAATGCTACTATCTAGAAACCTGATTTTTAGAAGGAGACTTGCCAAATAATGTACTCATTTATGTCCTCCTAATGCTGATAAATTATTGGATTACCCCATAGTGGAAGACGGAAATCTCTTGTAGATGTCACATCAACTATCACTATAGTGGGACTGCCCATTTGAGAGAGAATAATAGAGGACAGGACACAACGTGTTACCTTCTGTGACTCTAAGACAGACAGTAATCTTTGAAAGGATTTTGGAAAAAAGAAAAAAACAACAAACAAAAAAAACCCCACCCCAAAACCTTATAGCACTGCAAACTTTCATTCACTGAGGCTTACTTCCATACAACCAAAGGGGATTTCTTGCATCCAATGCTAAATGAGACATCAGATAGCTCTTTTAATGAGCTGAACAATATTCATCTTGCTAGCTGCTGTAAACACTTTGCCAGATGTTCTGGATAGGCAGACATAATGGAAATAAATTTTTAAAACCTCATTGAAGTAAGACCATAAACCAATAAAAGCTATTTACCACTTCTAATTACTCTTGCTTCTTGAATTCTCGTTGCTTTGAATATAAGGAGCATTCACAAGGTACAAAAATTCTTACACGATATTCTGATTCATGTGTATATTTGGTACGGTCTACGTATAATACTAACTTTATAAGTATTGACTATGCAAACTTAAACTAGCAAAACACAGTAAAGTTGTGATGAATGCAGAGTGAAATTTCAGGCTGTTAAGACAATTATGAAACTTAAATATATTTCAAGGTGTGATATTGGAAAATAGTATCATGCTTTGTAGAGGCTGTAATTCCTAAGGCTTTCCAATCTGGTCGTGCTGTATCATTATTTCTGCTAGTCAAAACCTGGCTTCATAACTTTGATTTCTCTATTTGCTGCTAAAGTATCAAATATAGAACTGTTTAAACTAACGAATCGATATCCAACGGTGGTTTTGGTCTTAATTGCTTCATTATTGTATTCTGCAGCATAATACTAATGTGGTTGTTATTTGCAGAGTTTTGCTTAGATAATTGGCCATCTAATTTCTACTCAAGATTAGATTTGCATATAGGGGGAAAAAACCCTAATGAGTCTGATGTTTGATAATGTCAGTTGGAAAGCCAGTAAGATGATAGTAATGAAATCTGCATGTGTGTTTACTATAGCTTTACTGCATCTCTTATTCATGTCTAATTAGATTTGAGTATGTTGAATATAGGAGGTTAATTGAATATTTTCTTTAATAAAAATGAGATTTGCATGGGTAGAAAGAAATTTACTTTGAGCTTAGAAGGAAACTAATAGTCTTCTAGATTTTGCATGGGGAAAATCAGGGTAAGTCCGTAAGTAATCTAAAAAATCATTAAATCTTATAAATAAAACATTTTATATTATTTATAACCGGAACAGCTTGACTGTTTAAAAAACATCTTAAGTGACACAGAAGGCTCCATTTGTTGCTTAAAAAATATTTGAAATTTTTCCATACCTTTTGCACATCCTTCGCTGTCATTGCTAGATATGTAAGATACCCGAAGATTAATGGAATTTTGTTAAAAACAATATAGAACTCCGTTGATCTGGACATACAAGATCCTATGAATTTCCCAAGCGGTTAGACCATGTAACTTGACATTAATTGTTTATTTTGACTATGAATGGTTAGAGGATAATTTTATTTCTTCTGAGGTCTTGGAACAGAAACTTGAACGGGAGGCTTATACACTTCAGGGTTATACTGCGTAACTCGATTTCCCATGACTTTAACTGTTACATCTACTGATGGCCATACTGACTGAGGAGAGGAGCTGTTGTCTTTGTTAGTGGTGGAAAGAGTTATTAGATTATCCAAGAATGCTTCCAAACACTACAGTCCCATAAATTCAAAGAGCGGAACTTGCCAAATTGTGCTCACACCATGACTCTGTCCTGTAATTTGGTAAAAAGGAAGGATTCTGATTTTTTTGATGGGGTTTGTTTTGGTGTCATTTGGTTTTGCTGTTAGGGTGTGATCATAGTAAGGAATGAATTCATATTTTACCTTTTTAATGCAGTTTAAAACTGTGTGCCGCAAATGATGTATCTCCAGTCATGTCACAATACATGCTTTAAAGTGAAAGTAACGGCAGCTTCGCTGTCAGAAACACATAGGGAAGCATGTTGCTCCAAGCAAACAAAGCCCAGTCTCCCTCACGTATAAATGCTTCTATTGATCTTTGACTCTTAATTTCAGTAAAATAAACATTTTTCTTGTCAAGGCCACAATTACTTAAAGTATGAAGTAAGGTTAGTTCATAAATGTTGTTAACAAAAAGCATTCCTATTTTATTAAATATGAGGACTTAACTACGAAAATGCTGAGATAGCAAGAGAGTTACTAGAAAGTAAGGTTGATAGGTCTGAAATGTGTCCTTATCACTGTATACAATGGTCCTAGAGACAGGCAGCAGAAGGAGAAAGATTTATGAAATTTTGTAAATATTTTATATGACATTTAATTGGAAAGATTTCTCTCTTGAGTGAACAGGTGGTTATTGGAACAACTTGAAATACAAATGTAAGTAGAGCAAAGGAAGGGAGGATGGGGGAAAGATAATTAGGGTTTATTTTTCACTAAAAATAAACTTCTGAAGATCCAAATACTAAAAGGTGGATTCCTCAGTTAAGGCTCTATAACTTTGTTTTCTGATACGCTGCTTTGTGTTATTCCTTTTCTTCATTAAGTCTTAATACTCTGTGAGGCATTTTGTCTTCATCTTTGTGATGAAACTCTGCTTCATCACATGGTCATTTAGTTTTGTTAGAAAGTGAACTACAAAAAAAAAAAAAAGCTTAACAGAATGAGCAATGTTAATGTTTGGAATTGCAGTGATTTTTTAAATAAGGTTCCGGGGTCATTGTAATCTTCAGGTTTTAATGCTTCTTTAGGACAAACTTTAACATTATAATTTTTAATGCAAACTGTCACAAGTTATTTTTGAATTATTTTTGCATTTAATTGGATAGCAATATGAGATGTTCAAGAAATATAACCTGGGAGCATGGTTATAATTCTAAGTTCAAACAGTACTAAGGGGTGATATGAAAGCATGTTATTCATCAGGAACTAAAAATATATTTTCACTATGGTTAAGAATTTTCCCCAGACTTGAGTGGAGTTCTTGTGCCGAATGTTCTGCTAGTCTGAATTTTTCCATTGAGTGAAATGAATTCAAACTCTTTAGGCTTGTAAATAATTTCCATTTCAAATTGTTTTAGATACAGAATTAATAAACTTGGGAAATTCCATTTGGGATGCTTATGAGGAAGGGAAGAATCTGTTGATGTGGCAGCTCCTTTGAAGTTCTTTGGCTGTCCATCTGTCTCCCTGCTGCCTCCCCATCACTTCCTGTGGTGGCCCCAGGAGCACTTGGCCATGAGAGTAGCACATGTGGAAAGTCATCTGCATGCCCAAAAGAATAGCAGACGGCAGTAATAGCTTCTTTTAACCTGTCTAAGAAAGTAAGACTATTATGGGTGGAAACTAAGGATCTCAAGGTAGAGCACCAATTTCTGTTAGTAGAGAAAAAAGTGTTAAATTGCAGATTCCTTTGATTGAATGATTCAGATACCAGTTGTACTGGCTGTTTTCTGAAAGTAACTGATTTCTAATAGTGATTTTGCTGGCCAGGTAAGAGCTGAGGAGCAGCTTTGGAGAAAACTGGAGAACCAGAAGCTCTGGAAGGTGTGCTTCCTTGAGGGACTTTTATAGAGATATGTCTGTCAATAAAACCCTCTGCAAGGACTTAATTTGAGCCTTTTCATCTCTTTCATACTCCTGTATTCCAATACTCTCTGCTCCTTGGTAGAATTAGTAATTTCTGTTTATACAAATAAGTTTATTTTGGATAGTAGAAGGGTACGAAATATGTTCAAGATTTGTAGGCGCATTGGAAAAGGAAACCTTAATGTGATGCAGAGAGTGAAAAAGAGCATTTCTGAGTACAGTAGCAGAGTAACTAGAAGGGAGTGAGGCACATCAATATTAAAGATCTTGGAATTTAAAGACAGACAAATTTCTAGCTCCTCCTCCTGCCCTGAAAAACAAATGAAAAATGTTCCTTAGAGCTGTGTTTGTTTCTGAGGGTTATATTCATTCTAATTCTGTCCTAGAAAAAATTTTTCAACTGCATTTCTTACTTTAAAAAAGTAATTCCTGTAACACTGTTTTTCAATTTTCGTATCCTCAATTTTTATAATCTTTCACAGTGATTTACTGATACTTGTAGGCGGATACCATTTGCAGAAAAGAAGCTACTTTCTTAGTATAAGATGCCCAAAAACTTCTTAAAGAATTTCCAAAACCCCTTGTTTCTCATTCTTTTATTGTTTTCTCCCAAACCAAGGCTATTTTTCACTGTAGGTCATATTAGTGGTATAAAAATTAAAAGCTGGTCCTTGTGTTTGTATTTTAAATTAAAACAATAAAAGGCTTTCAGAGCACTCCCACTGCCCAGGTTGTGGATTTTCTCCAGTCCATTGGTCTAGATGTTTCTCTGATTGAAATACTGTGGCAGGAAAGGAGGATTAAATTACTGAGGCTGTCAAAAAGGACAAGCACTCTGCCATACATTATCATTATCACTAGCTTCCTCAGTGGAGGAAAATGCAGTAAATCACTTCAAATACAAAGCAATAAAGACCACTAGCTTTTAAAATCATGACGGCTATTGCCATTAACAGAAAATGACAGCTGTGTGGCATGCTTAGATGCTGCTTGTATCTTTTTTGACAGTGCGCACATAAACCTGCCAGTGACATGCTATTAGATCACATGACCTTTCAAATTTGATTCTAGCGTTGTTGCGTTTCCTTAGGAAAGACAAGGGAAAAATGTTTATTTTTCTTTGTTCTGTTCTTCATGCTCTTTCTTCTAAAAGATGAAACCCAATCGATAACTGGTTATATTAATTCCAATTTGCTTTGCAGTGATACATGTGGATAAAGCAAATAATCACGCAAGAAGAGAGTATCTCAAGTCTATGCTTCGAAAGCCAGATTTGCATACTGACAGGTACATGTTAGTGCTGAAAAAGTCTATAAAGGTCTTTGTAAATAATGTTTATGGTTTGGATTGTTGTTTGAATTTATTGAGAGGTATTCCTGAGAAGTTAATCCATAACTAACTAGAGAAAATTTTGTTTCGGCTAGGAATGATACATTCTGATGTGGTGATTGATCTACATTTCTTCTCTGACTATGTTCATGTGGCATGGAATATTGCAATATCTCTTAATGCTGTTTCAGTGCTGTGTTTCGGTTTTGTTAACAACCTCGTTTTGCAAAAGATAGATTCTATTATCAGCATTCTAGCAATAATGAATTTGAAAAGCACATATCTACATGATGGTAGAGTAATACCTCTGTTGCTTTCTGAATTCAAGGCACTAAAAGGAGTGTAAAAGATTCAGAAAGTGTTCCTTGGCCCTAGAATTTCCAAAAACCTAGAGAGAGAGAAACGTAGCAGGCAGCTATGATGTGTGTATACATATGAGAAAGTAGAAATTAGTCTTGTCCAAGCTCATAATAATAAATTTGTTCTTATTCACTTTTTTTGATTGAGGTAGTGCGCGCATTACTTTAAGAGAATGAACGACATCATAGAATCATAGAATGGTTAGACTTGGAAGGGACATTAAAGGTCATTTTGTTCCACCCCCCCCGCCCTGGGCAGGAACACCTCCCACCAGCCCAGGTTGCTCCAAGCCCCGTCCAACGTGGCCTTGAACCCCTCCAGGGATGGGGCAGCCACAGCTTCTCAGGGCAACCTGCCCCAGGGGCTCACTGCCCTCGAAGTAAAGAATTTCTTCCTGATATCTAATCTAAATCTCCCCTCTTGCAGTTTAAACCCGTTACCCCTCGTCCTATTGCTGCACTCCCTGATATAGAGTCCCTCCCCAGCTTTCCTGTAGTCCCAATTCCCTTTGAGTACTGGAAGGCTGCTCTACATCCTTTGATTCTGTTTCCTCTTGAAGGTCAATCTTCATTAAAATGGAACAATTATTGATTTAAAGATTCATTTAATTTGCAGAAGTGTAGAATACCTGCTGATTGTGTTTGAAGTGTAGGAGTTACTTCTAAATCTTTTAAATATGTATTTATTCACAAATTGCAGATTCACTCTGCACTAAGAGAGAGAGTGATCTCTCTTCATTCTATTTCCCTTCTAAAGCTGAGTTTCATGCCTTGGCCACAAAACAGGTTTTACTGGAATGGAGCAGGGAACACCATGAAATGATTACTTGTTGGGATGGAAGTCTCATACCAAAACTTTCTTTAGGTTTGGAGATTTTTTTTTTTTTTTAAATAGTCCTCGCTTAATAAGCAAGCAGAGCACTTATTTTACTGTATAGATTGGGTAAGTGGGTAACTAAGAATTTAACAATACTGAGGACAAAATATTCTTTCTTTCCTGAGGAAAGAAAGATTCAGCAAAGGAAAATAGCTAGTCTGTGGGATGCAATTTCACCTATAAATACTTACATAAATATAATAAATATTTAACAAACCTAAGGTAAAATAACAGCAGCGAGGTTTTTCCCATAACAGAGGCCTTCATCTTTTACGTATGCCATCGTGGTACTGTCCTCTGTGTTACTAGGTAGGTTGTTTTCTGCATTTATATCCATGTCTAGTTTGGTCTGTGGTGAAACTTCAATTCTGTGTTGACTAAATAGCAAGGCAGGAAGTTCCTCAGTAGTCCAGTTCCCCACTTTATCCTAGGGAGAGGACCACCAGGAAACAAAATTTATGGAAAGATTCTGCCTATACACCAAATGTTTTCAACTCTCTGCGTTTTAAACCTGGCCTAGTTATATCTTCAACACATGTTTTCTATCACAAGCCTTACAAACTCATATCAGAGCTTTTTCAGCTGAAACAGGAACTGAACTAAACTAATGCTTTAAAGCTCAGGAAACCAAATTATCAAGGTTATAAATATCATTGAAAATTGCCTGCACATGGTTAAGCCTGACTCTTTATTGGTGTTTGTGCTACGCCAGATTATAGGAGCGTAGCTAGTGTATTATGTATATTAAATGGTGTATTAAGTTTTCAGGTGAACTTTCTCCCTGTCACAATAAATGTTGTTAGAAATGACACTCATAATGATTTGGTCCATATTAGAACATAAATAGATACATCACATGCTATTTTTGTCTTCCAAAAGGAGAATCACTTTAACGAATGTCCCTTGAAAAGGATAAATATTCTTAGGTGTTAAAAGAGATATTAATATAATACATAAAATTAATGCTCAGCCAAAGTTGCAGCTGTAGCCTAATCCTATAGCTGAAACAGGAGCCCTGAAAATAATGCATTTCACAGCTTTATAGTGTTTTAGTTTACACTTGCAATTAAATAAATGTAGATTGACATGGCATTTATATGGGAAAGTATGTTCATTTCACAGAATCATAGAATTGTTTAGGTTCAAAAAGACCTTTAAGATCATTGAGTCCAGTCATAAACCTAACGCTGTCAAGTTACCTCTAAACCATGTCCCTCAGCACCACATCTACCTGGCTTTTAAATGCCTCCAGGGATGGGGACTCCACCACTTCCCTGGGCAGCCCGTTCCAATGCTTGACAACCCTTTTGGTGAAGAACTTTTTCCTGATAGTCAATCTAAAATTTGTTGGGAGTGGGGTTTACTGTTCATTAAAAGATATGATTTCAAAACGAAGTTGATTTTTTTCTTCTTTTAATTTCACTTCTTGATACGGAAACATTGTAAATATTTATTAGAAATGTTGAGCTTGTTTCCACGTTTGAAATGGCTTTAGTGGAAAAAATGAAAGAATATTCAGTATTCAAGAAAATCAAGAAAACATGATGCTAAATAGAATGTTATAAAATCTAAAATATATGAGCGTGAGGTAGTAGAAGACTAGGAAGACTGTTTGAAATCTTATTTAGGTTAGGAATTGTTGCATACCACAAAGATGGTGGTTCTCTTTTGATAGCATCTTTGTCTTTACATTTTCAGACAGACAATGTCTCTATCATTAATATGGAAATGTTGTCAGAACACTTGCTTTTTCTTATAGCTGTATTGTGTGACATGGGTAGCTGTTTTGTTTTGTTTCTTTTTCTGTATAATAGGGATTCAAATTACATTCCTTATTTATGTTAAGAAGCTATACTTACTAATAGTTGTAAAATGTTGCAAAAAAAAAAAAAAGATTTTTATTTTATCATCTGAACCCCATAGTTATTTACTTACATGTTCAAGTCTTTAAATCAGTTAATAACAGGAGGCATTTCTGGCAGTCCATTTACCTTACTGTAACTGTGTCGTAGTTATCTTTTATTCTTCATCCTGTTTGTATTCCACTGTTGCCTTGCAGCATTTTAAGAGCGTAAAAATTTGGCTCATATAGAGAAACTTACCTTATTCCTCATGCCAGATTGTACGTGCAGACCTGGCGATAGAGTATATGCTCTTCTGACAAGTGTCAAAAGAGACATATGTGAAGAATGGAGGAATCCATTCTTCTAACAGTCGCCCTGCTGTGATAACAACAGTGAACAGGTTTATGCAAGAGGTTTCCAAGCCGATCCTGACAGGTGCATCATTCCTTGGTAAGAAACTGACTGTATGAAGTCATTGTTCTCCCAAGTAACAAAATCTGCGCATCCATGTTATAGGACCACAGAGCATGTGTACAGTGTTAGCTTCACATTAGCATACTAGATTAACACAAAAGATTTTCTTCTTGCTGCTTAAAAATGACTGATCTCTGGAATAAAGAATTAGAATGGAATTGGCCTATATGACAGCTTTTGTCCACGCACTCTAAATTCCCTGCTGGTGATAACACCTTGAAAGGTTATCATAACAACAAGAGTAAATATTTGTCCAGGGTTTTCTGCTGCATTATAAAGCACATTTTAAGCTTAAGGCAATTATTATTTTTTACTTGTCTTTTAGCCCTTTATTAGCAGACAAGTTTCGTTTAGTTCTCTAGTCTTTCTTGCAGTGGCTAGCAATAATCTTCCCACATAGTACTTTAAACAGGAGGTCAAGATTGCTTCTTATTCTGCCAGTAGGCGTGGGATTCCTGCAAGGAAGTGTGAGTACTGATACCTGGTGTTACAGAAATGTGGAAATGAGCTAGAGAGAAAGTCTAGGATCCTAGAGAGAAGTACAGGAGAGGAACACTATACATAGCTTTATTTATGTAAGAAATCCTAGTATGACTTCGATAGTCCAACTTCCATCCAAGTTTCTTACATAAGCGAGGCAGTGTTAAGGTAAGACGGGACAGTAGCTGCACATTTGTGCATTCTGTGCTGAAGCAGAGCGAGGAGTCTGTTCACGTGCAGTATGTTCCAAGGCAATGGGAACTGTGTGGTTTTAGCCAGTTCAACCTGAAAACAAAACTCTTGCAATTATTGGTAGATGAAGAACACAAGTGAAAGCATACTGAACATCATATTTAAGTATTCTCTAAAATTAAAGCATTTGTAGTATTTTTAAAAAATATAATTGTCAAAGTGATTGTGGTGCCTTTCTTGCAGTCTACTGTTTGGAGCATTCCCTTGGGATCCAGACTTCCAATCTCCTCCTTCCTGATCAGCAGCAAAGACTTAATCCAATATTATGATCTTTTAGGCATGTTGGAACTATAAGGTGTTAGAGGTGCAGTTCTTTTGATCTGTTGTGTTGAAGCTTGTTCTATTTATGTAAAATACTTGAGTATGATCTGAACCAGAAAGTGGACCAGTATGAACGAGACTCCGCTTTGGCTCTAAGGTCCCAATCTCCCAAATGTTCCTAGGTCTGCTTTTAGTTTATGCTTTAGAGAACGTGTTAGTAGTAATTGGTTCCCTTAAGTGATAAAAATTAAACCAGCACTAATCTCCTCCTCTTCTATCACTGTCTTAACTGCTAAGCTGGATTCTCCAGTTGATCTGATTTCATACTGACACTGAATCATAACAAAACTGATCTGTTCCCAATACCCACCAGTTTTATTGATTATTCTTATAATTTTTATTTTTTTTATTTCATTTAGTATTTGTCTTACACATCAAATTATTTGCTTCTTTTTGATTGAGTTTTGGCAGTTTTGCTACTGCTTAGCTCTGTGCCAAAATCTTAAGTTAGATGCATTATACTCAATGAAGCCACCTGCTGTTGGAAATAGCTGTCATATTTTTCCTTTTTTTGCCTCCAGAAATTTTTCTTAAAGACACGTATTTTCCATAGGTGTCTGGTTTTAGCGAAGAACAAATATTTATGTGTATATTTTCTATAATAAATATTTGTTAGTAAGAGCCAGGCACAAAAATAAACTACTGTAAAAGCATATTGCAGTTGTTGTGTTTAAAGTCTTTCAGGAAGATTTGATTATATTTTGTCTAAGATATCCTTTCCTGTAGACTTGGATTTTGCCCAAGTTGATAGTTACTCATTTGGAATTATGCTTAGTGTAACATTTTTAGGCTGTAAAGCTCACAAGCATTCACAGTTTAAACAACATTGCCAAGACATATCAAAAAAGTAGTTAGCTCTGAATTCCTGTCATTTTGTCAGTCTGTGTTTTTGGCCCCGACACAAGCCACTAACTCAAGTCAGGTCCAGCACAATACTGGAATTGTGTGTTTAAAACAAAAGCCATACTTGGGTGCGGTGAGTGCAATTTAAGTTCACAGAAGAAATGCAAATATTTTGTATAGTTGTTGGGCTTAGATGTTTGGGGTGGACAAGCAGACCCCAGTTAAAAAGCACGGTACATACTCAATACCTGTGTATGCAGGCTGTACTCACAGGTAGGTTTTTATGTGTAAAACAGGAGCAGAATAATGAAGATAAAAGATGAGAGGTATTGGTCAGAGGGGACAAGTACAGGACAAATTGCTGTGTAAGGTCCAACTTTAAATAATGAAAACACAAGACAACATTAGAAAGATACTGTTTTGAGAGAACTGCCTTTAGGTTCCTGTTATTTTTGTGGAATGTGTTCTTGGGTAGAATATGCTGTCCGAGTGTCTAAATGAGGTGTGAAAATTCCCAATAACTTTCAGCTAAATATTTTACACTTGGTGCTTGGAAATGCTTGCTTCATTGACTGTGGCTAGTATTTCTGATATCAGGAAAACATTTGGTATGGGTTTTCTTTCGCAATTATTCATCTCATGTTTCCCACACCACTCGATGTAAAGCCAAGAAAATGCATTGGCTTAAAACTTACTAAAGCTAGATCTAAATTATCAAGTGGAGCGGACTAGAGAATCTCTAGTGCCGTGCACTTGTTGCTAACAGCCTGATTTTCACAGTCCATCAGGATGATTCAGAGTACTAGTTGATGCTACTGACTGAATGTCTATTGCAGTGGAGTGCATTAGGGGTAGTAACTCCCGGAGCACATTTTCAGTTTAGTTTAGTCCAGTCCAACGGGAATCCAATTAACATGCTTCAAGACGTTAAATGCAAATAAAGCACCGTAACTGGGGACAACTGAAAAGTTTTACTTCATAAGCATGTTCCACATCAAAGCTGAAATAATCATACAGGTTCATCTTCTGTGCCCTGACTGAATTAAAGTAGTTGAACTTTTTCAACGAGTTTATGGTATTAAAAGGTTTTAACCAACAAAACAGAATTACATTTAATCTAAACCTTGCATTATTGCATATGAATTGTTTTTATTTCTTCACCTCAAATAATTTGCATGGTATGGTCAACAGTAAAAATTAAGAAAAAAAACGAAAAAAAAAAACCCAAAACAACAAAAGCTAAAAAACCCACTAACTGTATTTTTAGATGTTTCATATAAATGAGTTTTGCTATAAAAGCCTCCAAGTACATAGAGACAATCTTGATTTTTACATATGGGGGTTAAATATAAGAATTTAAGTAACTTGAACAGATGATTCAGCAGCTGAGCTGAACAAACTTACAAGTTTCAAATGTGAAAAAGTCTTTAATCCTTAGACTATTCTGCCTGTTGCTGCTGTATGAACAATAATTGTACCACAGGGTGGTGGGGAGGGGGGAGAGAAATGAAACAATTCTATAAGCCTGCAGATCTGTGGTTACAACTTCATTGTCCTTCTAGTACTGCCAAATAATGCTTAAGAAGGAGGAAGGATTTAAAAGAAAGGGTCTCAGACTATTCTTGTCATGGAAAATGTTTAATATAATTGATTAAGAGTTGTGGTTTATGCTTAACTGGTGAAACAGAGCATGGGCTTGCCTTTTTTTCTGGTTTTTGAGTTAATTTTCAACTCTTTTTGAAGCTAAAATATCAAATATATTTTTTTTGTTTTTTCTTGTGCTTAGCCTACGGTTTACAGTGGTCAGTGATCCCCCAGAAGATGAACAGGATCTTGAATGTGAAGATATCGGTTTCGCTTATGTCAGTTTGAGAGAGATATTCCAGAAGCAAAGAGATATCATTGAGCAAGATATTGACGGTAAGTTTTAGAGATTACTTCCTTGTAACATGAAAATTTTTTGTTGAATTTTTGCTTTTCTCTGCAAGTAATTGTTTGACATTGTTTCAATAAGAAATTCTTTAATATTAACTCATGACTTCCACATTTGTTTGCAAAAGTTGGCAAATACTGTGTGCTGTTGTTATTCCTTAAAAAATGTTTAAAAAAAAAAAAAAACACACAAAAAAACCCAAAACCAAACCGCATTCCTAGCTCACAATAATTAGTTTATAAAACCTAGTAACTTTCAGGACATGTCCACTTGCTATAATTCTGTATTTTGTACAGAAAACTTCATGCTAGTAAGACTATAAATATATATTTTGCTATTAAAATTTATGCCAGTAATTCTGTATTGGTAATGTCTATATCTTATTTGAAGTTACATTATAACCCCCAGAGTACCTCAAGCTTGTGTCTTCCATATGAAACCTGAATCTGAGACAATCTAAAGCACTGGTGCCTTTGGTTAGGTACCAGTTTAGCGTAAGTGTCCTTCTGTAACAGACCGACTTTCACTCTGACTCACTAAAGCAAGGTGAGGTGAGTAGGAGGTGTGGAGTCTTCTGTTTCCTGGGTCTTCCGACAGCGTTTTTATAACACTGACAAGAAGAGTCAAGAAGGATACTTGATCCTTCCACAGACAGTGAAGGGAAATATTCTCCTTGCTTAGACTTTTCTGTTCCCCAGGGTAGCAGGGACATGGTTAGGAATGGTGCGTTTTTCTCCGTACCTGTTCCTCTCCATCCTCTTTCCCCATTGTGGTAATGCTCAGTGAAGAAGCTGAGAAGAACTGTTGTAAAACAGTTACTCTCCTATAACAGTTAGTGAAGCAGCTTGATTACTAGACACAGAGCACCCATGTTCACAAGGTACTCTTTGCAACAGCAAGAATTCTAGTTAGCTCTAGTAGAATGCCAAGCTAATGGGACTTTGCTACTTCTCCTGTTGTGTCTAATTACCATACCTTAAGTGATGGGGAGCTGAGTAGCAAGGGAAAGAAACAGGCTTTCTTATCCATTTCCATGATCATGCATGATTTGCATCCATGCTGTAGCTAAAAGTATGCATCAAAGTTCCAGGAACGCGATAAGGAAAATTCTAAGAACAATCAAATTTCCATACCCTGGAAAAATAATACACGGATTTGATGCACTTCTTACTGTGGCTGAGCCACTTAATCTTTTCTCCACTACGATTTTTTTTTCAAAGTAGTTGTATGAAAGCACATCTCCTCCAAAAAGGTATTTCATAGTCTCTCACTGGAAAATTGTTTTTGTTCTGGACTTTATGGCCATAATTCCCATTGTCATGATTCCCATTTGATAAGATTGATTAGTGATACAAATATAATTTTATACCCTTGAAAGTTACCTTTCACAGAAGTCTTAAAACTCCTAATCGTCATCTGAGAGAATAATTATGACAGGAAGGACTGGTTTTTGTTACTAGTTGTTCTGTGAAAAGGTAGTCATTACTATGTATTCAATAGTGTGAGGAGCATTTCTTGCCCTAATCATAAGACATTGTAACTAATTTTTACTTTGTGTACATTACATCTATGGAAGTGATAGTAGTAGATAGAAATACTTATTCTTATTCCTATCCACACTTCTCCCCTTCCCTGCAGATGCTGTACAGTTTAGATTTATTTTTTTATTGCATCCATAACCATATTTTCTGAAAATTTAGAACTTTCAGAGAATTGAAATGAATTGTACATTAATATATGTAAGAACATGGCAAAAGTAGAATATATCAGTATATTTTCTTGGATGAAGTCATTGTAAAAGGGTCTGTTCTTCAGATCTGGACACAGACTTCAATTAAATGTAATGGCACAATACATAGAAATCTTAAATAATATTATACACCTTCTCTGAGGTGGGTATTGGTTTGAGGGAAAAAGAATAAACGTAGACACAGGGAAGTTCACAGATGCTACCACATGAAGATCTAATCATTCTGAAGTTAGATACCATAAACTGCCTTCATTCTTTTTGAGGCCTGCAAGCATATATCTTTTTCAAATCTTGTTCCTTTCATTGGCGATTGTGTGAAAGTGGCCCACTTGAAATCTGAAGCAATTAAGTGAATGGGTAATCAAGAGGCTGGATGAAAAAGAGTATAGACAAGACATGTAACAATATGTCTCAGAGATAATATGACAATATTAAAACTGAGAAAATAGAATTAATGTTATCTTCCGATATCGTTAGTTACAGTTATCCCACCGTTCTTAAAAGTAAAAACAATAATGTCCCCTGAACTCTGCTCTTTTAAGTTGACAGTTCACGGAGTGATTTGTTCAAGTATATACAAAATGGTTTGCATCTCGAAGAATAGCATCCAATCTGTCCGATAATAGCTTTGTCAACAAAGTAAACGAAGGTTTATCCCATGTTTTTCTTTCTCCAAACCGCTTCTGAGCTGTCCCAGCAGCCTAGAAGTTGTAGCATGCAGTTTCATTGCACATCCCAGAGTACTTATCCCAGTTTATAAATACATAACCTTGCCATTTGTCTGCTGTGTAATTGTATAATGTCTGCTTTGAAAAGACGTGCTGTCAAGATTACTTGTTTTTATTTGAATTCCTTCTAGAGTCATGTTAGGCAGCCTGATTGCTTTTTATGCAGGACTGGGAAAGAGCCCCATTTTTGACTGTTAGCAGCATGTTTTTAATCACAGCAGCAGAGATTGCGGCCCTCTGGGCTTACTTAGATATTGTAAAAGAGTGCGATTTTACATCATGTTAGCTAACTTCTGTAAGCAGAAATTTTAAATACTACTTTAAAACCCACGTAGCCAAAGGTGAAGGTAGTTAAATAGTTTAGTCTAGGCGAAATACCGTCTTCGTCTACGCTTCACTATTTTACAACACATGGAAGCCTGGAATTAAAATAATTTTGCATTGCACCCACTGGAAAGAAAACCAAAACAATTTACTATTTAAATGCTAATATAACTGTCCAGGCTGATTTGGACTGGTTGTACAAACAGTGTAGAAAATGCATTAATTGGTGTGTGTTTTCCTTAAAACTATAAGTATACATATATGTCTTTACTAGTGTTCATAACATCTATATTTACATACTGTGAAAAATAATTTATATAGGCAATTATCATAGAGATTATTTGCTTTATTTCAAAGTTAATTCCAACACTAATACTTTTATTGATGTACATTCTAGATCTTGGAGTGCTTAGTTTCCAGTAGGCTGAGTGCCTGAACTGGGAGATTTCTGTCTTATTTATAGATTTATTTTTTTTTCCTCTTATTTTAAGCCCATGGTAGATGCCTTTGAATCTGTCCAAATGCTACGGAAAATTATCAGAACAAAAGCAAAACCTTAAATGAAACTGCTAATGCTGTTTTCTGATGTTTCCTTTCTAGTTTTCGATTCACAAGATGATAGTGCAGTAATTGGAAAGCTCAAAGTGTCAGTGGAAGCCCTCCATGCGCTGCGTTCCGTCTATGAAGAATGCGAAGATGACTAGGAGGCATGAAAGGGAAGTTTGCCTACAGAAGTTCCTTCTCCCAGTGTAAATACATGCTTGATAGTGCTTCAAAGATGAGATCTTTGTAATTCTTACAGTATATTTAATGTATAATTTATGTGAAAAGGACGCTTGATTTGTAGTTGTAAAGTTTTGTATACTTTTCAGTCTGTTTGTTTTTATATTTCCCCCCTAAGGCTAAGAATCTCTCCACAATGGACAACGTCTTGTAAATAATTAATACCTACATGATTGAATGATGTGCTTTATTTGCATTTTCAAGATTTTTTCCTACATAAAACAGTAATAAAAATGCAAGTCAAATTTTTAATTTTTAATAAAAAAACCATAAGCCTTAGAAAACTGATTAAAAATACTTTTATGTTATCCCTAATCACCCCACTAAATGGAATGCCTGTGATTAGCCTCATTAAGAATTTTATACTGTGAAGATTTTATTAAAAGCAATATATGAAAATTACTTGGATTAATGTGTTAATCTGCCTCTTTAAAATGCTAATATCCATTTTATGCACATTAAATCTCAGTATGTGTTTTCTTTGATGCATGCAGTTCCTATCAATTAAATATAAAAAATGAGGCTAGTTGCAGGACTTATTAAATTACTGCAACCTTTTTTTAAATAACTTCTACCCTTCTACTAACATTATAATCAGCTGTTTATGATTATCGTGATTTGAAGTAGGGGGAGGGCAGCCACAATCATTTTTCTGTACAGTAAAAGATTTACTTTCAGCCAACATCTGTCAAAGCACAAAAAGAAGCCGTACAGTACCAGATTTTGCTTCACCTAGTCTGAGCAGTAAGGACAGGCAACTGTGTTTTCATTTGGTTTTTTGTTACTTTTAGAACTTACGTCAAACATGCACAATGAATTGTTGTGTCTGAATAACCAACGTCTGGCTTGGAACGTTAATTTTCCAGCTTTTAACCAATCTCAGTGGAGGATTTAATTGATATTTTTAATGGAGCTGTGAATCAATGCTGCAAAAGGATTGTCTCTGGAGAACGAGGATCTAATGCATTTCTTTTTTTAATTTACTTTTTTATTTGTCATTTTCTTCAAAGGATTTTATAGGCTGTGGATTTCCACTGTTTGCAAACAGGCTATGTTTCTTCATAAGCATATGTAAAGTATTCAGAGAGATAAGTAATTTATTAAAATCTACCTAATTTGCCGTGATATATTAAATCTCTGCTTCAGTGATCACAGACCATTTCATTTAGAGAATTAGGCATCCCCTCTTTGTGTGATTAAAGCTCTGGAAAATGAGTTCTTTGCTCCTATTTGTGAACATTCAAAGCCTGCTAATGGCAAGAAGATGGAATAGATTATGAGACAATTCATTACAGTTCAACAGGAGAAAAAAAAACCAGCTATAATGCAGAAATGCGAGTATGAATATCTGCATATAGTTTGAACCATCTGTGCTCTAATGGCTTCAATAATGGGTCTTCGTCTTCAGTAGGCTTTGAAATGACATCCATACAATATTAATTTGTTGATGTACATTATGAGGCCAATGGAATGAATATATTCTGACCACAGAAATCTCTGAATTCCAACATGAACCGACGGTTGACTCCATTTTAGGACCTACCATCTTCAGTAGTGCTTCTCAGCCAGACTTTGCCAATCCTCACAGCATTTCATTCCTCTGGAACTTTTAGGAGACCACAGACAGCTGCATTCCTAAACCCCTCCATTCTTCAGTTAATGGCCATATGTTTGTTGTCATTTGGGCTGGCGCTTAGTTCATCCTTTTGGCCACTATTTCTAGCTTTTTTTGGCTCTCTGCATCTATATTGTCAATAAGACTGTTATTATACATTACAATAATTTGAAACAGCTAGATTCAACGCTGAGATTAACTGAGTGGCTTTTTAGAAATTTAGTTGCGGTATTCTGTCAGGAGGTTCTTATTATTCTTCTAATACTTTGCAAACCAAACTAAATATCCTGCACATAAACAAAGAAGCAAATTGTTTTGAGTTTTCGTGTGCGACTGTTTACTGACTTGCAGGAGAACTATGTAACTGGTGCTTGTTTTCTTCTGAAATAAACCATGTGGTAAAATTAGAAAGTCGGTGATGTTCATCTCACTTAAACATTTACAGTAACACCCTTAGCACTTAATCTTCGCCATCTGAAGTTGAAAACTTAGAAACCAAGCATTCATATATTCATTAAACACAGACCTGTTTGGTAAGTTACTGCAAAGTATTCCAGTTGATGTTTGGTTACATTGTGTTAACTGTTCTCAGTGACTCTGTCGTTAACATGTATAATTTGCGTCAGATCCCTAACAGATTTCTTTGGAAGGCTCACTGTTACTCAGGTTTGGATTTAAAAAAAAAAAAAAAAAGTTGATTTTTTTTTATTCGTGTTTATTACTAAGAGAGATATAATATTCAGTGAGGATTTTTCCAACAGATGGATTGCATTATCTTATGCAGTATAAACATATGAACATACTAGAAAGTTTTGTTCTTTCATTAAGTAGTCTGTATTTCCAACATGCTCTTAAATCTTAAGTCTAAATACTGCACTGTGCAGGGAAAGTGGAAAATGTAGTCTAGTACTGGTTTTGTCCAGATTTTAGCTATGAATATCTTGAAGAAAACTTACATCTATGTACTCTCTAGCCTAAGGTCAAAAGTATCCTTTGTTGTGTGTGCAATATGTTAGTAAGCACATTCCTTTTTGCAATTTAAAAAAAGAGCGTGATTAATGCTGGGTACTACCAGACTTTTGAAATGTTACTTAACTGAAATTAATTTTTGTGGAATAGATAAATTTTTTCTATGGTGTAACATGGATGCAACAGGGGTCCTGCATAAGATGAATTGCGCAGGGTCAGGTGATCAGTTTTGGTTTTTATATCTTTTCCCATTAATTGTTACAGCTTATAGCTTCGTTGTGGTATCTTCTTGTGTGATATAATAGCTGCTCTTCTCCAAGTGTCCCAGGTATGTTTATCAAGATGGAAACTTAAGTTTAGCTCAAAATACTTTTTTTTTTTTTTTTTGTACGGTTGCTTTTAACTTATAACCTTAACCTAGGGATGGAAGTTATAAAAGCAAAATACATCATGAACCAAGGTAATGTCTGTGTGAACTTGATTGTTTTTGCTGTACAGTAAGTCTCAGCTTATTACATGCTTATAAGAGTAGATATAACATGACAAAAAATTATAATAACTTGCCTCAGAACTTATACAACTGAAGATCAGTATTTATGTTAATAGTAATATTGTTTTAAAATGCTTTTTGTTATTTCAAGGCATAGTAAGACATTATCATAACAAATCACCAATGATAGCAAGACTAAATATTAGCTGTTAAATTCCATTTTCTTGTTTTGTATGATAACTGAGAAATAAATTCAAACACAAAATTAAAATTGTGCAACAAATTTTGTTGCATGTTTCAGAGCTAGAGAAATATTTTATGTTGCAGTTAGATAGACAGGTCTTTTTGCAGGTGGTGATGATGATGATTTATCCATCAGTTTTTCCAGATACTCCACAAGTGAATAAATATTTTTATAAGACATCCTTAACATTACTGTTTATGATACAGGTTTTAGTAATCGGACTAGATCCCAATCCTGCAACTATTACTGTATTGAATGTATTATGTCACCTGTATGAAATTAATTGCAGAATATAAGTTCAAGTTTGCATCTTTTAAAATGGGATGAGGTAACTTCTGAAGAACTTGATTTCATCAGAATAATTTCTCAGGGGAAGAATTTGACCTATGTTTTATTTCTTATTATAGTATAATCTTGGCACTCACAGGACATGACCTTGAAAGTCACATATAACATGGAGACTTCAGTCTTAATTCATAAGCACCAAACTCCTTCTAAATCATGCATCTGTGGGCTTTGGAGGTATTTAGAAGCTTTTCTTATTTCTAAGGTCTGTGCTGAATCAGTCTTCAAGCTCTCAACACTTCATGGGATCAAGGTCTAACTTAGCCCTAGCCAAGTTTCATTACAAACACAAGCTGTTTGTGAATTATCTGATAACAGTTGAGAATATGTTGTCGAAGTAAATAAGCAACTGCGAACCTTCAAACAGAAATACTTATAGGTTATTAATAGTAGTGGTTCTACCATAATACTGTATCAGGATAGGATTGTACAGGTTAGAAGGGATTTTGGGTGGTCTCTAGTCCGACCTGCTGCAGGGTTAGCTATAATGTTGGACCACGTTGCTCAGGGCTTTATCCAATCTGGTCTTGAAAACCTCCGAGGATATGGAGACTGCAGAACTTCTCTGAGCAACCTGTTCCAATGCCCAACTGTCCTCGTGGTAAAAAAAGGAGACATGAGATTTGGCTTCAATTTGGATTGAAGTGGATCTAAGCATGTGAAAACAGCTTTTGCACTTAATATACCATCTGATACCTGATTTTTATTTTTTTATTTTATTCTATGGATGGCATAAGCATGACCTTGTTTGTCATTTGTTGCGGCCATTTAACATTTTGCACAGAAATACAAATAACTAGGCAGTTTAGTATTGATTTTCATACCTACTGCCTTGCAGTATGCCATCACATTTCCAGCCAGTTTTGTGAAGCAATTGACAAAAAGTAGCTCTGTTGTTGTTAAAAATGTGGTTTGCTCAGATAATTTTTCTGTAGATTTCAGTAGTAAAATGTTTTCCTATTTACTGTGGTTTATTCCTGGTTTTGTTATATTAGGCTTAAAGTATTTTAGGGGTAAGAAAACAAACAGACAAATCAAACAAGACCAGGTTCACGTTGAAATTCTATTCTTCGTGACCTTCATTCATGAATTCTTAACACATTTTAGATTTACAAAGAAACTGTGTTCCCTGAGCTGTGAGAAACAGGGATATAAACCTGGAACCTCTGTCCCCACCCATATTCTGTATCAAAATATATCTTACTTTAGTAGTCCAACATCAATAGCTGCAACAGTGCAAGACAGGTCTTGCACATGATCTAGCAATGACTTGTTTAACATTTTTGTGGATTTGGAAAATAATCTATTTTCTGTTTAGACAAACTGTCATTCTTGTTGAATGCAAAATTATTTCCTTATGCAGTAAAGCTGCAAGAACTGAACTTTCCTTGAAAAAACATTGGAAAAATGTGGTCCTTCTACTAC